GATTAACATGCTGTAATACACAGTTCAAAATTAAAGGCTCAAATGCTGTACATGAGAGGTTAAGCTCCCCCTGGCGGTTTTACAAGGCGACGCCGGATAGTTAGTCACGTGACACACGTGATACCGCGTGATACCCCGGTGGGCGTGTTGCGGTATGCCGCGAAATACCTCACCCATTTTGAATGGCTGCATCTGTAACACTCACATCTAATTCTTGAGTGAAAACAATAATAACAGTGTTACCTACATTAAGTCACTTAAGACTGCAAACTGATAAGACTAAAAAAAAATGACGGTTTTGTGGTTTGGGGATAAATGGTTTGGGGAACTGTAGGGAAAAGAGCCTTCTATGTGTTTTTTTTAGTTGATCCCTAGCTGACATTTGCCTTTTTGTACCGTTTTACCTCTAGCTTCCGTGAAGCAGTATTTCCAGGAGAAAATTTCCAAATTCAATGGGTTGCCTGACCTGTCCTACCTGTCCAAGCTGGAGAAGGCTATGGTTAATCATTTTAAGTTTAAAGAGTTTGCCCATATGGAACACGGCACCTTCTTGGAGTTCCTGGTGAAACAGTCTCAGGCAAGAGCCTTTCTGGACCGCTTCTTTCATTCTGCTAATCTCTCCCTTCAACTCGTTGCTCTTTTCTCCATTTTGCTTGTTTTATAAGATAAGATAAGATAACTTTATTAGCCCCATACAATTTCTTGCATTAGGAATTTGTCTTTTCACATATCCCAGCTTGCTCTCCAAGAGACACACAGACAGACGGATAGGGAGAGAGAAGCCTGTTTTAACTGGGAAAGGAAATTTCTTCAAATGTGTGTTCTGATTTGTTCAAGTATTTTGCTCCTATTCTCTCTCCCCCTCACCGCGGACAAATTGGACAAACTGTCCTTTGAGCAGTAAATTACTTTACTATGAATAGTCTGCATCCCATCCCATGGGAAAATCAGACCTGAGCTCCTAACTGTGTTTCCTGGCCATTGTGTGTCTGATCTGTTGTAAGGGTGCCCACTGTGGTTGATGGGGTTTACTGGGTTTGTTCTCGGCACAGATTCTGAAGGAGGCTGGTGTAGGGGCTCTACCACTCAGCAGTTGGGACTCCAGGGCGTGTGGCTTCAGACCCAGCCAGCAGGATGTCTTCGAGTTCCTCAAACAGTGTGGAGTTGAAGGCCAAGACAGAGTGAGTGAGGAATGGAAGTGTTTAGGCTGCCATCTAGTGATGCTGACTGGACCCTACAGGCCTTGAAAAGACAAAGCACCCAAGTGTATTTATATTGTAGACTATATTGTAGAATACTGTCAAGTAAAGATCTCAAACGTATTTGTCTGGCTAAGCTGTCAGTCTTTAAATGTGTTATTTGTCTCAAAGGAATTGGTTGAATGCCAGAAGTGATTGATTGATAAAAAGATGCATTAACCCAATCCTTAGAATTATTTGTTTTTATGTTGTAGGGTATAGGGTATAGTTTATGCATTCAACAGTATTTCTACACAAGGCAGCGTATGCAGTTGCTGTTTCAGTGCAGCTTTAACTTGACATAGACTTTAATGTGGTTGACATGCACAGGATCATGCTTCTGCCACTGCTGAAGCTCGGTGTCACATCTACTTTTCTGCCTTCCTGCACATTGTGCATGAATAGTATCCTACAACTCAGTTTAAGTACAGTGCCATCCAGATTTATTCATACCCTAAAGAAATAGGAACAAAATAATTAATAGTGCAGCATAAGTTCTGGACTGGATATTGTGTCTCACTTCAAAAAATCATAATACCATACAGTACTGTAATCATAATAGCATTACAGGGTGAAAAGCTGTATTTGACATACTTAATTTAATGCCAAAAACAAAAGGCATTTATTCACATCTTGAAATATTCCTGTAAGTAACATTTAAAAATAAGTCTGCAGTGAAATTGTGCTCTCTGGAAGTTAAAAGGAAGCTTCCAGAAATATCTAGAGGCTTCAGAAAGTTCCCTGGGGTTGAAGGCAGTAACAAATGGAAAGCATTCAGTAATAGCAGCATCATCATGTGTAAAATCCAAAGAGAGCTCTTTCTGTCTACCCGCATCTTCATTCACACTCCTGTTAGCACAAGAGCTGTGGAGACCACACACACTGGAAAGCCATTGGGTTACCCTCAAACTGCGAGCTGCACAGAGCCCAGAGTGGAGTTGGCCTCAGATGAGGAGCAGACACAGCTCTCATTCTGATAACACTGCAGGGCCCCAGGAGATGCTGCTGCTCACCCAGCTGTGGCTGTCTTGGCTGGTTAGAGCCAGCCCCATCCCTGGAGTGTTCAGACAGGCAGTGACTGGCAAACCATGGTCACAGGCTGCTCATTAACACTATCTCTGCTTGCAGCCTTTAAGCTGCTCAACATCCTGTAATTTGTTTGCAAGTTCTGTGTCCCAGATAGCAGCCATATATCCACCATCAGAAAGCTACTTACCCCGATGAGGTTGTCTATACATTAGGTCACACAACAGGAGAGTACATGACTCCTTCCCTCCCTTAAATGGACATCAGTCCATCATGGAAGTGGAGAAAGAGTTTAGAAGAGTTAGCCAATCAAAGCTGGTCATTAGGAGATGAGAGAAAAATGGAGGACCCAGCAAAAACACACATGAACACAGAGAGACAGTGCTGTCTTCAAACAGAATTCCCCAAGGCTAGAATAGGACCAAAGTCCCATGATGATAGAGACAGCAGCGTGGTCTGTCTTGCTGTGACCCCTTTTCTTTTTTCACAATCAACGTTATAGCTTCCTGCCATCGAATCCGCCTTAAGAAATCACTACAAAGTGAGAGACAGTCGGGAGCTGGGGTACGGGTCCTTGTCTACTCTCGTCGTCCTTGTTCAGCGCCAGAAGCAGCAGAGCAATGGGATTCACGCCAGCCCTGTGCGTTACGAAGCGCCGCTGTTTGCCAGGGAAGCAAGGTTAGATCTCTTTTGCTGATCCTCCACGACCAAGATTTGGAAGTGTTCATAAACCTGCTTGCATTATGGGGGCATTTATTAAAGTAAAAATAAACTTTAGCGGATTACTATCATAGTTTAATTTAACATGCTCAAAAAGAATAAAAACAGAGATTTTTAGCTTAAATCATTGTGAGAAATAGTGACGAACCAGGTTTCTTCAGAAGGCTCCACAACTGAAACACTATGTCTCTTTTCTTTTCAGCATGGAATAAACCTTTACTTGTTCCTTGGAGCTTACGCAAACTGACACAGCTACCTAATTGTATATGAGAAAATTCTATAGGTTGTTAAACTAGGCTATAGCTGTAACTATGAAACCTGGCTCGGCACTATTTTGCACAGTGATTTAAGCTGAAAAACTATGTTTTTATTCTTCACACCTGAAGAAAGCTCCACGGCCAAAACGTTGTGTCTCTTGTCTTTTCAGCATGAATTTAACTTTTACTTGTACTCTAATCCAATGGTAACTACAGTGTGTTTTCAACTGTGTTGCTTTTAAAGGAGCTCCTGGACTGAGGCAAATGAGTCGGTAGGCCTGTTGGGGCCACAGAGCATAGGAAACGCCCTGGCCTGTCTCCTGAGCGCTCCCCTGCTGGAGGACCTGTCAGAGTGGTCGCAGTGGGAGCTGGTGTTCGAACCCGAGCATGGAAACCTTAAGGATTTCATAGAGAAGAACGCTGGAAAGAAAATCACCCAGCTGGCAGGAGAAAGTATGTCTACCAACATTACAATAAGGGCTGCTCAATAGGGCATCAGCTGTTGAACAGTACAGTATCAGTGTAAATAATTTATTTTTTGTTGTTGCTGGCTGGCAAAAGAATGGGGAAGACTACAGCTGTAGTAATTTATTTGGAGCAATGGAATGGAAATGATTAGTTATCTACTAGCTCTCAAATAAATATGTAATACATCTTGTGTACAGTATGTGCTTCTACTACTTTTCATTTTTGAGTAGTTTGGTTTTGAGCTGTTTTCTTTTTTCTCTCTCTTTCAAATCGGCACAGCTGTTGTAGGTGACCTGGTGGCTCTAGAGGTGAAGCCAGGAATCTTGCTTAGAGTCACAAATTTCACCAGCCCTCAGCTGTTTGCAGAGGCAGCAACAGCACTGGACCCCATTGACACTGCTGGGCATCTGGTGTCCGTAGTGCTGGCTGATGGGATTGCTAATGCACCTATAGCTCTGTTGGCCAATCACATGGAAAGCTCCCTCGCTGCTGCTATGGTCCAAGAAGGTAGGTATAGCAGTGTCTTTGTAGCACAAAGCAGATCTGTGCTATAGCCCTTATTCTGTGTCAGCTAAAATTGATACGTTTCTATTTTACTACAGAATTATGATAAGGACTATGTGGCAAGTGCAGCACAGCTCAATCTATAAAGAAATGGATAAGTGATTCAGTTGTGAGTCTGCACCCCTCACAGACCACAATATGGATTAGCTAATTTTGATCCATGAGCAGCTAATTAAACTTTCAAGTCTCATCTGCTTTGATGCAGACTGCCTCTGGGATGCATCTATGCCTTAGCAAAATCCTTATCATTTATGGTGAAGCTTCTGTTAAAGATTTAATTCCCTTTAAATATAACATAAAAATGTTGCCTATGAAATGAGGATATTTGGCCCATTTAGCTCTTTTGGTTTTTTGTACCTACCTGATTCAAGGATTTCATTTACTTCATCCTTGGACGAAATCAGTTTCAACAATATTAACCATATTTGCTTAGCAGTGTGTTCCATACTCCAACAATCCTTTGTCTAAAACAAACAAATTGCCCCCTGTTCTGTTTCAAATGTAGTTTTGCTTCCACAGTAGTATCCTCTAGTTTAAGTCTTACTGTGGAGTTTGAAAAATTAAATTGAGTTGACTTAACATTTGGGACAAAGGATGGGATGGAATTCATACCCTCTTGCCTATTTGGTACATAGTAGCCTATTGATCCAAGAATCTTAAACAACCGTTTCATGAAAGAAGAGAGGGTTCTCAGTTTTATATACACGTCACTATAGCTTCTACTTGTATACTCTGATTTGTGTTTCTCTTTTGAAGAATTCCACTGCTAGTTCTAACTGTTTTCCAATATTCATTGCTTCCACATATTGTCTAATGAAAACAACTATGGTACATAAACACTTAAGTGTTTTCCAGTGTATTTTATTATAGTTATTATATTTCTAATTTGTTTCAACTACCTGCTTGTCCTGGAACTGAATTTGTGCTAGCGATTCTAATGAAAGAAAACCAACAACAGTTGTGTTAGTGGACAACTAGTAATGTCAACACAATCCCAGCATTACTCCTTATACTGTAAAAAACAATACTGTTTTTTATTGATTAATCAGTTCACAATCCAGAACCAGTACCATGAATGCCTGCCATCTGTAATATTGTGTGACACAGTACTATTTTTAATTGTGAATGAAGCCAAGTGGGCACTGAGTGGTTAATGAACATTGTACAGTGACAATTGGTGGATTTTCTTGCTAGTTGAACTCTAACATGTCAGTTAAGCAACACCTACAGTATCTTTTCTAAATCTACATTGACTAGCCCCATGAATTCTGCTTCCATACAGATGACATTTGAGAATAGTTTAAAGTATCATCTCTGTAATCTTACAAGTAATAGGTGCAAGACTTCTTGGTCTATAATTTATTGGCAAGTAGTAGTGGTACAGTGTATGAATGGCTTCTCTTGTTTCCTTAAGTACACTGTTGAAATACCATCAGTCCCTGGAGATGTGTTTCTCTTAAACACCTCTAGTAACTGCAACACTTTTGCATGTTTTTAAGATAATATTATTAAATACAGGGTCTTGTTTTTCCTCTGTCTGAGGCATGTTTTCAATTTCTTCCTTGGAAAGTACCCAAGTGGAATTTTCATTTAAAACATTAGCCTTTTCCCTTTCATTGTCTGTTTTTTTCATTATTATTTATACTTTACCATGTAATGGCATTTTTCCTGTTGTAATACTGAAAAACACAATTGTAGTCTCCATAGCAATATTGTTTTCTTTTTTTATTGTTATATTAATATCCTTATTTACTTCAGCTTGCTTTTCTCAGTGCATCTTTTCTTTCACTAGATGCTGTTCTTTTTAAATAGTTTTATAGTGTTTTTTTATTTTTCTTAATTAGCCCATCTGAGACATTGCTTTCTAGTCTTTGATTTGATTTGTAAGATTAATCTGTTCTGCTCTTCAAGCAGAATATCCACTTGAGTCCATTCTACTGCTCTTAAACTCTGTCTCATTCCTTCATAGTCTGCTTTCCTAAAATTGTAAACCTTTGTTTTGAACTCTACCTGTACAGATTTGAAATATACTTCAAAGCATAACGTATAATGACACAATATTGTACTGTATGCAGTCAATATTTTTTTATTAAGAAGTCCAGGTGAGGCTATTGAGATTTAACTAATGAAATGTTTGTTTTGGTCAGATTTTTCACAGCCTGAAGAAGCACTTTCACTGAACACAACTGCCAAGTTTGTCCTTGACTGTCTCATTCGAATACCAACAAAAATTTGCAAATCCCTAATTAAGCAGGTAGGGTTCTATTTTTATTTTCACAATAATATTCCAGCATCTGCTGGAGTATATTGAGAGTGATAAGGAGTTAATTTCAATTTTCTGTGTATTTTTCCCTTTCAACTTTGTGGTAAGAAGTGAGTGTAGATGCCACTCAGCTTTTCCACTCTTTGGCAGAAGTATAAAGGTTTTGAGTTTGGCTTCTCTGTGGATCTGTCAGCTCTGAACCCTGATTCTTTAGTGCTGTGTGGATCAGTGTTTAAAAGCTTGCTTCTCACCTCGGTGTCGCTGAGACCAAGTCTGCAGCCTTAAGATATTAGATGGCAAGTTCTAAAAGTTACTTCAAAGCTTTTCATTCATAAAACCCAGGAGATGAAGATGTCTTGGCGCAACGTTTCTCTTCCATTTAAGTCCGTTGAAGAGGGAAAACAACTCAACTGTGGGTGGGAGCAGCTGGCAACGCAAATTCTGAATTATTTATTACATATCTTTCTTTTCGAATCAATAAAATGATTCCAGTTGGAAAGTGGTATTTCAAAAAGACCTTAGCTCTTTGTGTCTCGTCTTCTGTTAGAAATGTGTTTTTAAAACTTGCAGGTACCAAAAACAAGAAAACAACATTAAAAAGGCCTTTGCATTTAGTCATGTTAGCCAAATCGAGTATGGCAAAATAAGTGGCTCTGAATTTCCTCTTGGGGAAGTAGAAAGCAACCTTTCATTGTGGAGCTGTGATGTCACGGCATCTGGAATGAAAAGTGTCATTGATTTGACAGTGAATTCTGAGCTCAGTGTGTTATAAATTAAGCCTGGGCTCAACATATAACAGTCACTGAAAATAAATTGTATCATTATTCATTTGAAACATTTATTTACCTATTCCTTTAGTTTATATGTATTGCTTAATAAATTACATTCATGAACGGTCGATCCCAGAGACAGTAGCAGGTACTGTACTAAGGGTAATTTAAAATGTCTGCAACAATGTCTGTAATGATAGCTGCAACTCCACAGCTATCATTATTGCTGCTCACTAGGATGAGTAATCATTGTTACATAGGCTAAAAAAAAGACTTTCAATATCTTTGTGTTGGACAGTAAACGACCTTTGGAAAATAATGTATAAAATGTGTATTGCACTGCTTTATTCAGACTAACTACAAGGCTGTATTTAAACCATCTTATTCTGCAGTGGTTCCAGTCAGGGAGCACATGATTAACAGACCCCCTCGACAGTAACACATACTTGTCTTCTTGTTTCAGATCTTCCTTGAGCCGTTCTCCAAGGTGCTGGGGCAGGCCAAGTCCAAGGCGGTTCTTTTACAGGCAGCCCGATCGGACCGCCGCTACAAGAACAGACTGCACCAGATGGGCCTGCTGCTGGGTCTGACGGAGTGGGTGAAAGACTTTCAGACCAAGCTGAGCTCACCCCAGCTGCCTGTGGTACCGTCCAAGATCTCAAAGGTTTGGGCTGCATTTCTTCACTGCATACTTTAAGGGCACGTTCTTCCCCTGAAGAAGCTGTGCTGCTGTACATCTAAATGATATTTTCAATTTTATCATTTTTACATCACAGTCCTCTTGATTTGCCATGGTTTATTACAGTTTATATCATGTTGCTGTCTTTACACCATGCTGTATTGCATTTGGGATATTGTCAAGTATTGCACTAAGCTGTTCTGAAGGGTATTTTGGCAGCCCATATCAAATGGCAAAATGTTTTTACAATCATAGATGATGAGAATAGTACAGTATATTGACCCAAAAGATCTCCATTTTTTTAAAAACATTTTTTTCTTGATTACGTTACCTACCTATTATGCTGCAGTTAGGATTTCTCTCTCAGGCCAGTACAGACTTCAGACTGACCAGTAGCCTAAAAAGACGAAGGTACTGTGTCAGGACGTGGAAATATCTCCTGCCATCATAATCGACAACTACAAACTGGAAGTCTTCCATCAGTTTATATACCTGGGGTCCACTATCAGTGACAACCTCTCCTTGGATGCTGAAATCAGCAAACGCTTCGGAAAAGCTCTCACCACTCTTGCTCAGCTTAGTACTCGTGTCTGGGAGAACACGAAGCTCATTGTCAAGGCCAAGACAGCAGTGTTACAATGCGTGCGTCATCAACACACTTCTCTATGGCAGCGAGACCTGGACAACATACGCAAAGCAAGAGAAGAAACTGAATAGCTTCCATCTGCGTTGCCTTCGTCGCATCCTCGGGATCTCTTGGAGGGACAAAGTCCTGAGCAGCGAGGTCCTTTCGCGTGCTGACCTCCCCACCGTGTACACCCTGCTCAGACAAAGGAGGCTACGCTTGCTGGGCCGTGTACACCGGATGGAGGATGGACGAACACCCAAAGATATCCTTTATGGCGAAATTGCATCTGGTAAGAGGACTGTTGGGCGCCCGCAACTGCGCTTCAAGGATGTCTGCAAGTCATGAGAGCTCTACGCACTGACACTGTGTGCTGGGAGGACACTGCAGGTGACCGCGTCAGCTGGAGAGGTGTTCTTTGGCATCAGCTCAAGATAGGAGAAGAAAGGATCCTCAGGCAGGCCGAAGAAAGAAGAAGTCATTGAAAGGAGCGCCGTACCACCAGGCACACGGAGACGGCCTACAGATTCCCACTGCAACAGAGACTGTCACTCCCACATTGGCCTCATCAACCACTCCCACTGCTGTTCCAGACGCAGAGTGACCAATAACTTGGGCACAACACCCATGGTCGACCCCGACTGATGGAGGCTCATAATAATAATAGGATTTCTACAGAAGACTGCATTTTTTGAATGGGGTGTAATTATGAGGTGTTTCTCTCGCAAGATTGAACTTCTGGGCTCATTCTTTATTTCCACTTGGCAAGCTGAAAAACATGCTCTGAGTATTTCTACTCAGATTTCTACTCGGATACAAGCGCTTACGCCGGTAATATGAATGTAAAATGGGAAATTACTGTATGAAATAGAGGCACAGCACTCGGGAGCTGGGAGAAAAATGTAAGATCTGTTTATCACATGTTCTTTGGTGCTGTTAAACTTTTATGAATGGAGAATACACTATTTAACAGGAATAGAGTAGTGCAATTCCCTTTAACTCTTGCAGACCAAATGTTGGAAAGGCTTCCCATGTGGTTCCTCCAGTCCAGTAAAGGAGGTACTTTCAGATCATGGGTGAGCTCTGTAATCCAGAATGTTAAAAAGGCCACAAATGAGAAGGGGTCTTTCAGCCCATTGTACTGTGCAACCTGGGGTTCATTCTAAATGTAGGGAGACAGACTTCTGTTGTATGTGACATTTCAGAATAACTGAATAACTGAGTGGAGATAACCACAAAACTTTTCGTTCAAATCTTTGTATAGGTTCTAATGCATGTGCAGTCACTTCTAAACACTCATTCGTGGTAACACTAGAGTGTACCAGGGGCTGTACTCAGATTACAGTATAAAACCTTCCTGAAAATGATTAAATTCAGAGTACAGGAGGACTCTGTGCACTTTGTGTGTCTCCTTGGGTTTTCTCCAGGAAATGGCATTTTTTATAACAAATTAGTCTTGTTTGAAAACTGTGCCGAACTGCACTGTAATGTCATGTATCCCCTGCAGTACTGGGAACTAACAATTCGTATGTACTATATTAAGTCCCCTGGATCAGGACGGTTTTAAAGTAGCCAATTAAACTTGACTTTCATGTCCTTGCCTGGTGGGGGTTACTGGCGCACTAGAAAAAAACCCACTGGAACACTGGATTCCACAGGGGAAAGTCATTGAAAGGAATGAAGTCCTAGTCTGCATAGTGTTATTAGCTGACTATGACTGAGGTCCTATCCTAGGGCAGCAGCACAGCAGAAATCCCTGTAAGATTTTCAGCTTTATGTGTAGATGTTGTTGGTCTTCCAATCCGTGCTACAGGGCATATTATTGCTGATGGCTCCATGGTACATATGGTCTGTATCCCCACCTTGCTGCTGTGAGAGTGGTAGTGGTAAACCAAGCCAGACAGGCCGCTATTCAATCTTAACGGTTTGTGCACAGGGTGTATAACTGTGGCAGTGAGTGATTGGTGACTGATCCTCGCGTATCTCTTCCCAGGCTAGATCTGCTGACTCTATGTCCCAGAGTAGCAAGTCACTGGTGGCTGACTTCAGTGATGAGGAACCCGAGCTGGAGTCTGATTCAGAGCCTGAAGACAACTCCTCATCGCAGATCTCTGGTAAAGAGAATTTCTTCTGATCTGTATGTTACTATCACAGCTCTCAAGCTCCTTGTTAAGCAGAGGCAAAAAGGCCCAGACACGCAAAGAGCCGTCATGACGTGCCGGGACACAAAGCAGAATGTGCTATAACTTTGCCTAGTGTCTTAGAGCAGTTTTGTAATGGAATTTGCCATTGCTTTTAATGTTAAGGCTGGTGTTGTGCTGTTTCTTGCAGATGACGAGGAGCAGAATTATGAACTTACCTCAGAACAAAACAGCCAGGTCTCCAACACCTCTGAGAGCCAGGGCCTGAGTTCTGGGGCTGTGAACGCAGACCCGGCGGAGATGGACGTGCAGGGATCCGAAGACTTGGGGAAAAGCCTGGCCGAGGAAAGAGTGAACCAGTGCAAAGCTATCATCGACGATATTAGGTCTGGAGATAACTCTTACATTGGAATTGTGAGCTGAACAGAAAAGAGCAGTGACAGCTGATTACAGTGACATGAACAGCTATAGAGCTCACATCAGCTGGAGCCACACCTGTCCTTCTTTCTCATAGAGGATGTGATTCACTCAGCAGTTGTGTGTGGGTTAACTTAGCAGCAACTGGCTGTTGGTAGACCTGTTAGTCTGTAGGATGAGATGAATTCTGGATTGCGGTGGTGGCCACTGGGAAAGAGGGTGGGGAAAAATTTATGCACTCTTAATTTGTGCGTTGTTAGTTTAATGCACCTCAGGAATATATGCCACTTCTTAATTGAGGACAAATCAGTTCTCACTTCAACATGCTTGGGAGTAGTGAGAAACAGGCAGCTTGCTGGGATGTTCGGAAAGAATTTTTCTTCTGTGTCAAATTGATGCATCAGCTGCTCTGGCAAAGAAGCCGTAAATCTGAACCCCTTTGAATGCAAACTCGAGTGCAAAACGTCAATGATGTAATACGGTATGTAGCATGCTTACATGATGCTGTGATTTAACATTCCACTGGCACAATTGGGTACAATTCCTGGGCTGTGGAGTTTGTATGTTGTATGTTATCCCTGTGTTCACATGGATTTCCTCAGGGTGCCTTGGTTTTCTTCCACAGTCAAAATACATACTTAATTGGCTTCTGGGAAAATGAGCCCTGGTGTGTGTGTGTGTGTGTGTGTGTGTGTGTGTGACTGTGTCTGTTTGTATCCTGCGATGACTGGCAGGATACAAACAGACACAGTCACACACACACAGTATATTCTGTTCAGGATATACTGTACTGTATCCTACCTTGCACCTGTTGCTTGCTGGGATAGACGGTGGATCCCCAATGACTCTGTATTGAATAAAGCAGTTAGAAAATGGATAGATGTAAGTCAGCAATATCAATATGTCCCATCAGGCTTTGCCAGCAGTTAATTTCAGGCTTTTTCTTGTAATATGTTATCAAAGCACCTGCTGTTTTAAGAGCCTGTGTGATAATTTTGCTATTAATGTATATCATTTGTAGCATTTGCTATATAATATTTATGTTTAATTTTGTTCTGACCTTAACAGTTTTACCTCTTTCTTTCTCAATGTGCATATTTAGAAAAACTGAATTTGGCATCGGGGTGGACTTGAACGAAGAGGGCAGGAACCTGATGAATGTCCATCAGGAGCGGCTTGGCCGAAGCCTGGACAGACTGTCCACTGAGCTGTACAGCAAGGACACGCACTTCGTGCTAGAGCTGATCCAGGTCAGAGCAGCCTCCTTGCTTTTTGGGGGCAGTTGAGTCTTGAAGCTGGTGGGACACATCTCCAGCACTGCTCCTGGAGAGCTACAGGGTCTTCTGTCTTTTATTCCATCCCTGCTCTCTCAGATGTAATGGAACCAGCTACCATTTTTCTATTCAGAAAGTCTTTAACAGTTAATTGCGGATGCTATGAACCTCGAAGCACTTGGGGCTCTCCAGGGTCACTGACTTCCTCCTTGACTACTCAAAAGGCCTCCATTTGGGCTTGAAGTGTCCTCGGCTCTCTGCCAGGTTTTCCTATCGCCTGTGAGCTTGCAGGGATGTTACTGTGGGTCATCGTCATTCTCCTCAGTGTCTCTGGAGTGTCCTGAAGTGTAAAATGTGTTCTCTGGCAGGTGAAAGGCATGACCTTCCTCAATTCCAGCTATTCTACTTCTGTGGCTGCAGTGGGTTTTCTAGAAATAGAACATTGGAACTTTCCAACTTATAAAGGGGAATAATCTTCTGTTAGGAATGGCTTTATTCACAATGTGAACTGCACCAAGAATTCTTTTATTTTTTTTATGAGAGTTTTCAGAACAGTCCTTCAGAGAGTCCAAGCACCGTTGAGTTATTCAGAAATACTCTTCATCAGACAACTGGGCTGTTGAAATACTGGCTGAGCACATTTTGATAATTGCTTTTAAAAACATTTCTTAAAGCATATAGTGTATGGTAGAAAAGGTATTACTCTTTTTCTGTGAGCTGTTCAGAAAGCACAGCTTCTTGTGGCAGATTATGATAATGATGATTATAATTGTTGTTATTAGTAATAATTGTAGTCATGTGTACTAATCTGGATGATAGCTTTATTCTAGTGTTATACACATAAAGGGGTCCATGTGAAGAGTTCTTAAGATTAAATTGCTTAAAACTGGAGTAGTGTAGCACAGGACATGCATGGAAATAAGTTACAAGGTACAAGGTGGTACAAGGTCACACCTTGGTACAAGGTGAGAATACAGTAGAGAAGGCAGCAGTTCTGAAGCAGAAGCCCAGGTCTCTAACCATGTCCGGTGTGTGCTTTCAGAATGCCGATGACAACAGCTACCCTGTTGATGGGGGCCTGCAGCCAGCTCTGACATTCATGGTGGAGAAGGACTGCATCTCCATCCTTAACAACGAGTGCGGCTTCGAGGAGAGGAACATTCGTGCCGTCTGTGATGTGGGCAGAAGCACAAAAGGGAAACACAAATACGGCTACATAGGTACAAAACCAAACAAGCGCAGCTTCACTCTGATAATTAGTTTTTAGCAGGTTTTTGTTTCTGCTGTGTTCACTAGTAAAAGATGGTTGTTTTTACACTACTGGAAGGATCAGTTTGCAGAATGTGACTGGCATGTCTTAGCAGGTGGCTCATGAAGCCTGAGCACATGAACAGATCGTGATGGACAGCTGAAATACTGTACTGTTTATTTACAACACAAAAACATACTCTGAAGTAGCCCAATACCAGCTATCACGGCGAGTCCCACACTAGTCTAAATTAACCCCATGTGAGAATGTGGCTCTCTCAAATGAACTAATAAACTCAAACAGTGCACCACATGTGAGCCTGTAAACAAGCAATACAGGACTAAATGACCTCTGGTGGACCACTGTCTTCATTGCTGCTGGCCTGGCACTTTTCATAACAGCTTTTAGTAACAATTCCTGTTGCTTTTACCATGTACTGTATAGACCCTTGTCACTTTTAAATGGGAAGACGGTATTGACCCATAATCTACAAACAGCAGTCCTGACATTCAACACCATTGAGTCCAAAATAAAAAAAACCTTCCATCCATCCATTTTCTAACTGCTTTAGTCAATTCAGGGGAGCCGTAGTTCTCAGCAAGCAGCAAGATGCACTGGACGCCAGTGTATTATAGGACAGACAGAAACACAGACTTGAGGAGAACATACAAACTCCACATAAATATCACCTCAGGTCCTGAACTGAACCCAGGGCCCCAGTGCTGCAAGACAGCAATACTATCCATTGCTCCACCATGGCAAATAGCCTTTTTATTTAAATCGTGAACTCAGACTTCATGGTTGTATTCCCCAGTGTTAGGTTGTCTTTCAAAGTATACACAGAGTCTGCATTGGGAAGAATGATATTCACATCAGAGGCCTGTAGTAATGTAGTTGGGAATGCTGTAGCCAGTTGTATAATACTGACACGGAAATGGGCTGGAGACAGTCAAGATAGCGGTTTTATCTGTGTTTGTATTACCGAGGCAAGTAAATTGGTTCCCTGAAAATAAATATTTAAATCACAGGCCTTTGTGCCTTTTTACCTGTGCTATAACTCAGGTTGTCAAATTGAGGAAAGGATTCAATTATGCACAGTCTGAGTGGCACTAGTGCTGTCGAGTGGCTGCCTCATAATTTGTTCCATTTTCTCTCTTTTACGGGCTGTGTCATTTTCACTGCATATCTCTCCCAGCAGTATAATAAAAAGACGTGCTCTGTCCCATTAGATAGTTCCAAGCCAATTCATTCCTCTTTCAGGGAGTGGGGATATTACTTTATAAAAGGGTTCCCAGTGAGAATTATGGTCAATTAAAAATAAAACTATCCTCTTTTGAAGCCTCCCGTGCACAAAAGTCTGGCTAGTGCTTTTGCTGTACAAAATTTCAAAATCTACCCATGGTGATGATGTGCTTCAAAATCATTTTGGAAAATCTCATTCTCTTGTTTATTTTAATACAGTCCTCTGCTTCAACTCTCCAGTAAAATGTGTTTCATTTTCTCTGAATGTTCTCAAAGTACTGTACCAAAGGATTCTTTCTTTACTTGTTTGATAGACCAACTTGTGTCAAATCCAAGGCCTTCCTTGACCCCACTGCTTCTTAGATCTGAGTTTGACCTCAAATGATGAAACTAATAGAATGGAGAATAATGGTAGAGTAACAGCAGTAGCCTGTCTTCTATGCATGAGCTGGGTGAGCCTCTCAGGAGAATGGTCTTCTCTTGTTTGTAACCTTTTCCATGTCTCCTCATAGGCCAGAAGGGCATTGGCTTCAAGTCCGTTTTCAAAGTGACCGACTGTCCAGAGATTCACTCCAACGGTTTCCACATCTGCTTTGACAAGAACAGTGGGCCGATGGGCTACATACTGCCACACTGGCTCGAAACAGAGAGACCCCTACCTGTGGCAGAGGAACTGAAATTAAACAGGTACATTTTTCAAACGATAAGTCCGGTGCTTCTTCTAATATTCAAAACCTGTTTCAACATGCCAGACCTCATGGTCGTCATTCTGCTTTGGTCTGAACAGCCTTTCTTGAGCTTCCATTTTTGGATGGGGGAAAGTGAAGGGTGGTTAAGCTGTTTCATTTTTTTTGCCTTCTTGTGAAATATTGCTCCACTTAAAAAGCTGTGCAGCCCTACAAGTTTCTCATTTATTAAAATACAGTTGGGTTTTGAGTACATGAGTTTTGATGGAGGTCTGGATTAAACTAAAACAGATGTAGATCAACATCCCAGGACTTGTTGTTTTTGTTTCAAAAGGCAAAAAAGCAAAAGGCAAAGCTTTCTTGTTCACTGTGGTATGGAGTCTGCATATTCTATATAATATACCGGTGAACTGTTTTGTCTCATATCTGCTGGTTCTCTTTCCAAGCAGTTGGACCACGAAGATAATCTTGCCTCTCCGGTGTGAGAGCTACCAGACGCGGAACCTCTTCCATGACGTTCACCCATCGCTGCTGCTGTTCCTCCACAGGCTGCGTTCGATCACCATCGTCAACCAGGTCAGCGGGTCTCTGAGATTCCAGCTCTTGCTTGCTGACTGAGAAGCATGTCATGTCACTAGTGTCTGACTAGACAGTATACTGCAATAAAATGAACCGGAGCGGTGCCGTGGCTCTGTGGCTAAGGATCTGCGCCTGTGGCTGGAAGGTTGCCGGTTCGGATCCCTCGGCCAGCAGAGGAATCCTACTCCGTTGGGCCCCTGAGCAAGGCCCTTAACCCTGTCTCTCCCTGTCTGTGTGTCTCATGGAGAGCAAGTTGGGGTATATGAAAAGACAAATTCCTAATACAAGAAATTGTGTATGGCCAATAAAGTGGCCTTATCTTATCTATGCAAACTCCACGCAGATAGCACCCTGTGTCCGGAATGAAACCCAGGAACTAATCACTGCGAGGCAGCATTGCTAACTGTTGTGCCAACGTGCTAGCTGAATAATGCATCCTTTGTGTTTTATTTACTTCATCGATAATAAATGCACTCACTCACTTAAGCGTGGACTGCAACATTGGGAGTATGACAATGCTGCCTGGGAATGGCATTCAGAGAGCATATTCGAGAAATAGAACTCGATTTTGTGCTCAGAGCTACAGCACAATGGAAGCCATTTCAAGAATCAACCGCATTGTAATGCAACCTTGGTGCTTTGGGAATATTTGGTTGCAATTGTTTTTGACCCATTATATTTAACCATGCTGGAGGAGGCTGCCCTGGGGGATGGGGAGGCACGTATTGTACTGGCGTCCACTTTGCTGTATGATTTTGGACTGGAGTCCACTTTCTTCTATAGAAATAAGGGCTTATTTTGGCCCTGTGAGCTTAAGGCTCCTGAAAGACTTGGAACATTTTTTAAATAAACAAACTGTTCCCATTTTCATTCAAGAATTAGCATTTGTTAATTAGCTTAGCAGTAGATTCACACAAAGGGAATTGCCAGACTGTGCCTCTCTGTGTGTAGTGTGGAATCATTGTCGCTCTGAGCTCCTCCACAGCAGCTGACTGCCTTAATTGTAGAAAAGAGCTTCTCACCTCTCACTAATTTGTTTTTTTTATTCTCCCTCTCTCAGAGTGAGAACCGTGTCATATCAATGACTAGGAGAGATCTGGCCGGCAATGTCCTAGAGGTGCAGCACACAGATGGCACGGAGCGGTGGCTGGTCTTGAAACGCACTCTGTGCGCCAAGAAGGCAAGTGAGATTCATTGAGGTTTCCTGTGTGACACTCTGTCAATGGCTGCCTCCTTACAGATCTCAAGTTAACCAAGTTTGGCTGTAGACTTTGATATTGATTTCTGAAAGTGCTGCATAACAGGAAAAATCTTCCAAAGCCCCGAGATTCATAATTATATTTCAATACAACCCTGTAATCTCGTGGACATCCATTTGCCATGCTGTGTTTATATCCCTCCATGTTCTAACCACTTGATCCAACTCAGGGTCGCCTGGGAGCCAGAGCCTAACCCAGCAAGCAACGGGTGCAAGGCAGAGTACACCCCGGATGGGACACCAGTGCATTGCAGGACAAACACAAACACAGATAGGCACATGTTCACACCAGGGCCAGTTTTCCCAGAAGCCAATTAAACTACCAGCATGTCGTCAGACTGTGAGAGGAAATCGGAGCACCTAGAGAAAATCCACACAAACACAGGGAGGACATACAATCTCCATGTACTCTAGAAATCACTACAGGTCCTGAATTGAACCAGGGCCCCAGAGCTGAGAGTGGTGGTGGCACCTCCTAGTGCAACCTGAACAGGTGAGGATGAGGTCCCAGATGGAAGTCTGGAGAGTGCTCTGATCAGCGTCAGAAATGTTGATTAAATCTTTCACTGTTAATGAAACTTTTCATTACTCGCGGAGAGAAACGTCCTTCTAGTATCTAACAGAAAGTCTGGAGCTACAGAGCAGAGAACTCCAGTCCTGAGCCTGGTGGGCCAGTAGGTCTGCAGGTATTTTATTCACCTGGACCCATAAGGATCTAAACCATCTCATTATTGGCTTAATTGGACCCTTTCAGTACAGTAGCTTGTCTCTTCATGTGATCTTGCTTGAAAGGCACCTAGGAAATCTGCCATCACATCAACTAAGCAACTGCATGATTAAGGACTCCTGGTACAGAGGGTAAAAAACTACTCAAAATAGATTAATACAGTGCACAGTATTTTTATATGGCAATATGTATTGACCTACCCCCAACTATCCCACACTAATCTCTGCATGCAAGTTTCTAAAGAAGAGAGTGAACATTGTATTTAAAACAGCTAAGCTCACATTTTTGGACATTTTTCCAGGCTTCTGTACTGCATTTTTTTTTCTGGGTTATATAATCATTGTACAGCTTTCACTCTTCAGAACAAAGCCACTTTTCGCTCTCGTCTCATTTAAACTTAATGACAGAGGCCTTATTAACAAGTTGTAGTGAATTAATTTTCAGAACTCCGAGTGTCTCTGTGCAAACACAGGGAGCAAGGCAAAGAATTACTGAAGTAATAAACTAAATAAAGCTGCTGGCTGCTAGATAAGATATTGTTGCTGGCAACACTGGATCCAGTTGAAAAACCCTCTTTTTTCTCCTGTATCCAGACTTAAATTTCAGGGGAGACAGAAGACCCCTTTCCAATTAGCATTTGTTCTCACAATGCACATACTGTAACAAGACCAGTCTGCGTTAAGAAAAAATGTAGGCAACTGTGTACAATACTAATGAAGCTGGGTGACATGAGTAAAGGCAGTTGAGTGTTTGGAGAATGTTGTTTTCTGGACACAACATTTTTATGTAGGATAGAGGCTCATTTAAATTCCAGTGTGTTGAGAATCAGGTCAAGCACTGACTGCTGCAACCATGTCTGTTTGTTACTGTGTGACTTGGATTTTATCTTTAACTTACAGTACATGTTGTTCTGTCCCTAAAAATGACAGCCTTAGCTGAATAAATAGCATAAGGAAGTCTGACATATCTGCATACTGTAGCTTTTCTAGTTCTGAGTTTGCTTATTGCCAGCCTGGCTTGTAGCCAAATTTATAATCACTACTTATAAAAAAAACAGTTCAGTATTTGTTTTTGGAATACAGGGTATTAACAATATTAATGAGAGGTGCAGATGTGCTTCACAGCCACACCCACCTGCACAGCCATCTGTCATGTGACATCCTGTGAGCTGCGCAGACGTGCCAGACAGGAGAGTAAGATCTGATTGGAGGAGAGGAGCGACACTCGCTGATGTCACTTCAAGCCCGCATGAAACTAGAAAGCCGAGAGGAGGCTGTCCAATTAATTGCGCTCAGACCTGATTCCGGCAGAATTCATTTTTATTTTGTGCTTCTGCAGATCAAGGACAACGTGGAGTCCACTGAAATAGCGCTGGCCTTTAAACTCAGCAATGGAGATGACTGTCAAGGCCTGACCATGCAGCCAGAGAAGCAGCCTGTCTTTGCCTTTCTGCCCTTGAGAAGCTTTGGGTTTCGCTTCATCATTCAAGGTACATGTTCTTTTCTGTCTTTTGGGTGCAGCTATCGATCAGTCTGTACATGCTGTAGAACCCTTTACTGCATTTTTCTACAGAGCTTGAATGACACAGCAGTTGACAATATTACGCTCCTCCCGGATACGGATTTGTGGTATACAAATTACGATGCATTAAAGACAATCTCTGCCGCCTCAAGAGTAGGGATCCTGCTGTCCTGGGCCTTTTGTTAGGGTTATCCAAAAGACGTTCCACAGGGTAAAATGAGAACATGGGTCTCTTCATCTGATCCCAGGACTGGAACCCAGATAATGGGATGTTAAAGGTTGCCAGGTGTATTTATAGTAGGTAAGGTCAGTTTTGGAGCTGAGAATTCCTTGGTCTGTGATCTTGGGCCTAGCATTCCAGGTTTTAAGCTGTCAGAGAATTTGCTCAATGGCAGGACCCAGTGCAGTGATTCCAGTAGTGGGAATATGAAAATAGGGGAAGCTCTTGTTACAGTAACTGGGCAGAACACCTCAGACTGAGATAAATGAAAAGATGTAACACGCTCTGAACATTTGCAACCCAATTAACTTGAGAGGTCATCCCAAGGCTGATAAAAGTGATTTCAGAGATTCTTTGAATTGCTAGGCAACCACCATCTTCAGACCACAATGCTCTGCTTGGACTTTATGTTGTTGGTACTTCACATAAATATAGAGGACCTAGACTTTTTGAAAGCATACCATAGAATCCATATTGCCAGATAGCCTGATGCTCTATATTATTTGTACAGTAATAGATTTCATTCTGTTTTTGACTGCACAAGATTTATTAACTAACATAATGATCCATTTTGATTAGTTCAGTATTCATATTTATTGTTCATGTATGCTATAGAGATTACAGTATGCAATTTTTAGTCCTCCATATAACTGCTTCATAATACATTGAAACACAACAATGTGTTGTTAAATTCTATTTGTTGTAACATCCATCTATCCATTCTCTGATGCAGGGGTACTGGCAAGTAACCAGCAAGCAATGGGTGCAAGGCAGGATGCGCCCTGGATTGGATAACAGTCCATCGCAGGGCACACTTAGACACAAACACACACATCAAGGCGAATTTTCCCCAAATCCAAAAAATTGACCTGGGCTGGGAAGCCATGCAAGCAAGTGGAGAGCATACAAACTACACATACATACTGTAGCACCGCAGGAACTTAGCCCAGGGTCTCAGGCCTGCGAGGCAGTAATGCTAACTGAGCGCCACCGTGGCAACTGTACACTTAGCAATTTATGGTGCCAAATTATGGAAATACATCAGAAAAGTACCTAATCTCAACTAGTTTATGTCCAGTAATGAGCACTTGGAATGAAGTTGAGACCTCTATGTGTATTTTAATGCAAATTAGGTCTCGCTTTTGGCCTGTGACCGTAAATTTGGGTACCAATGACGCTCGTATAGCGGGAGCTGAGTGTGTAGTATCTGATTGTTGTCTTTTCCGCAGGGGACTTTGACATTCCGTCCTCCAGAGAAGACGTGGATCGTGACAGCCCATGGAATCAGTGGCTCCGTTCAGAAATCCCTCAGCTCTTCCTTCACGCCATGGACATCTTCATGGTAAGAGGAGGAGCTGTGTCGAAGGAGATGTGGTGGCTGCCTTGGATTCTAAAGTCAAAGCAGATTCAGTAGTTCAAATTCCTCTACAAATGTGATTAGTGGATGCGCTGCATTCTTAAATTGCTCTAAAAACTGATTATTCTTTTTCAGAGTAATCATGTATAAGATATTAGAATAGTGCAAATAATTTGTTGATACATTGCAAAGACAGGTGTTATTTTTTCAATTGTTTCCGTTCCTTAAATTGGACTTGCTGCATGCAAACTGTTCCTGTATCCATTCCTGTTTGAATGTACCTATTCATTGCTTATGCCTGTGTAATGAGTTTCATTCCCAAGGATTCCAAAGTGTTTCACATGTAGGAGGGACCCTCTTCATCCACTTCTGAAGTACAGCACCCACCTGGATGACACATAGCAGCCATCATGCCCCACTAGATTAGTTTTTGAAATCAGAAATAACTTTGCCAAATGAATTAAGTATATTCATTATAATGTATACACAGTATAATGTATCCTAAGATGAATTCTGGAACATTTCTCTGCTGCTGTTTTACCTGCAGTGCATGTGGTGCACTGTAGTGCATCAAAGCCTTTGATAAGCATTCAGTCATAACACTCCTGAGAGAAAACTAAAGATGTAAAAGTGTTGGGTATGAAAGAAAGCAGACTGCGGTGATTTCTATGCACACTGTGATCCTTAAAATCATAGTTTAGACAAACCTTTCACAAGACACTTCAAGGTTTAAATACGTTCACAGATGAAATCAAAGTTCAAGCTCTTTTTTTTATTTCAAACAAAAGTTTATCTGTCAATCCAAGTCTCTCTCTTATCCAGGTATTTCCTTAGTGAGACAATCAGCTGCAGATTTATTGAGAGTATCTCCAAGAATTGTAAAGGACTTTCCCAGTTTTTATAGACTTTATTCTCTTTCTTTTTTTGTAGGAACATCCAGAATTCAGTGGCCTGCAAGGTCTCTGTCAGTTCCTGCAGTTTATCCCCCTTCCAGATGAAATTCTGGACTTCTTCAATCCTGTGGCTGGAAAGATCATCCAGCTCCTTAAAGGAAAAGCTTGTCTGCCCACAAAGGAGGATAAAGGTCCGTCTCTTCATCTGTCTTGAGACAGAGACCTCTCTCTATCGTAAATAATAGAGCTATTTTTTCCTCTTCCTGTAAATATGGGCAACCTGAGAAGAGTCCTTCACAAGGTAATCGTAGAACATACAGTAACAAAATGCATGTCACAGTGACTGTAGGACTTTTAAATTGCAATTACGAACCTGCTAATACGATGGGCATCAATGGTTGTGTGTTTTGAAGGCCTTTTATGATCTGAATTGATAACCATTAAAATGAAAAGGAAAGGCACTGGTCCTGTAGGAACAAGCAAGGTTGCTTTTTGTTGCTAGCCTCCAACTGCGAAGGACATTGTATTTTAATGAAGCTGAGCTCCATTGAGGCCAAGATGAAATCTGTAGTGACTGCCCATCATTTCCAGTAACGCACTGTGTCTTCCAGAGGGCAATGTGGAGTTCAAGCTGCCCTCCCAGATTGCCGTGTCCCAGGACGTGCTGATCCAGGAGGTGATTAGTCCAGAGCTGCTGCAGCGGCACCTGAACCTGTCCTACCTGCACCCCGCCTTGCAGTCCGCCCTTCCCCACTCCCTGATCACCGCCCTGGGGGTGCACCGCCTTAGGGGCTCCGACATCACCGCCATCACCAGTGCCATGGCTCAGGAGCTCCTCCGGGAGCACAGCGCACACAGCGGTAAATCAGAAAGTCACCAAACCACTTGCAACGTGGACGGCTGGAGACCCGGTAACGGGAATGAGTCATGTTCTTACATTGTGCTTGTTTTATTGTTGGCGGCTGCCGTATGATTTAGGAGTCACGTACGCTGAACCAAAGAGTTTTTTTGGAACGTTTTCTTCCATTAAGCAAATTTTTCAGGATTTTCACTGTATATTCTGCCTTTTAGCAATTTGTATTTAGCCTGTCTTTTCCTTTGTCATGGTTTTGCGTGTTGTGAATGTCTCACTCTCTATAGTTCACTCCAGTTTTCCACTGCTTCACCATAGTAATCTGTAAGGCATGAAATCATAAATCATTTTCCTGACAGGGGTCTGGTATGGGAGCTGCAATGGTGTGCATGGTTTGCCAGCAGATTTGATTTGAAAGTACTGGTGTGTGCCATAAGGATCTGTCACGTATTTTGTTGTGTGACATCTGGGGCCCTGCCTTTCAGGTGAGTCCCTGAAAAAGGTGGCCAAACTGCTGGTGTGTAACTTCCGCACCCTGGAGCAGGAGTACCAGGAGGCCGACGCCATGTTACAGGCCCTCCGAAAGATTCCCATCATCCCCCTGGCTGATGGCCGCATGGTGGCTCTGGATGGAGTGGGCGTCTTCTTCCCCCTCAGCGACCCTCACAGTGTCCAGACAGGTATCTGTGCCCTCTGGGCTCTGCTTATCCATTGCGTTTTCTGCTTACTAACACAGAATGATTTTTGTGCCTTGAACCCTGAACATGACAAGACATACACTTGTTTGGCAAAAAGAAGAAAGGAAAGCCAGAATGTTTGCTGCTTTTTATTTTTTATGCGATATTATTTACTTTTTGATTCTACAGTCACCCAGTGTGGAAATGCACCTTTTCCTTTGTTTCCTTGTGTTTTGGTTTACACGATTGCCATGCGCCTAGATGTCCCCACTGACCTGTGAGGATTGCTGTTTCCTTTTTCTAATAGTATTTGATAACTATGCGTAGTTTGTGGCATGGAGGTTAAATTTTTGATTTGCACAGAGAAGTACCTGTTTCTTATTTGAACAGGTTCAAGCCCTTTGTGTGACTCGGTTAGTTCTTTCAAAGCAGTGCCTTTGTCAGTCTTCCTTTAGCGACAGCTCAAGGTGTAGTTAATAATGTGTCCAGATTGCTTTTTTTGACAAAGCCTTAGGATAACCAGGCCTTTCAAGCAGCAGGAATTTAGCATTTGAATGCAGCACCTCAATCAGCGCTTGACGAGGAAATCAATGGCGCGAATTAAAGAGAAATCTCAGTGCTAGATTGCTGCCGATGTCAATTAATATGAAATTACATGTCTCTGCTTGGTTTTGTGGATAGCCCTTTTCTCCCCCCAATGTGGTGATTAAGTACTTTATTTGCATGGAGCACTTACTGTACCCTAAAGATGTTTTCATTTTTGTGCAGTAAGACGAAAAGTTCTAAGATGTTTACTTACACTGGATACTGTTTATAAACCTTTTTGGCACAGTTAGACACGTGTATCCTGAGCCAGCTGTCTCCTGTGGGGCAGGAGTGTTGTGTCCTGCTATCATGGACACAAGCATAGCGCCCCCTGGTGTGTACTTTGCCCAAGAAAATGCGCTCAGTAGTCCCATTTGTGTGTGCACAGTTTTCATGAGCAGACTGACTCATTTTAAGTTTACCTTCAGCACTTCCAAATGTATATTTAGACAATGCAAAAAATAAATATTTTTTATTTAAGTACTGTATAAATTTATTTAGTTCCGTATCAGCATGGTTGATATGCCTTCCCCTCCCCCAAAATAAAACCTATTTAGTGATTTTGAGACATGTTAGTTTTTTAAATGAATAACTTTCTTCCATACACATATGTAATACATGCAGTCCAAAGGCTTCTATTCATTATTTTAGATTTCTCCTTGTATGTCCATTCATAAGTCATTATCCCTCTCGAGTACAAATGAGTTACCAGAATCACAGAGCGAGAATTTAAAGAAGTTACTTAGTTACACCAGCACTTTAGAGGCACTGAGCACTGAGAGGTCAAGTATAAGTGCTAGGGAAAATTAAAAATTTATTTTACATTCCTCTGTTGTGATCTATAGCATAGCCTAGACTCCTGCATTATTAACCAGAACAAGACTATTGATGCTGCTGTTCAGTCCAGAGAAGGCCTGCACTTTCTTCCAGTCTCTTAAACCCATTTTCTGACTACAGGCATACTGTATATGAATCTGTATGAGCAAAAACAACTTTCCCGATATTAATAATATAGTACTGACATGAACAGGACATAATTCAATGACGTATATTATATCAATTCATGTAAGTTACTGTTCTAGAAATACAGAAGGATGCTTTTATTAATTAAAATACTGTACTTAAAAGCTTAAACATCAGAAACTGCAAAGCTGATAAATAAAATAATGTGTTGTTTTTATTCAAGAGGATACAAAATTCATTTATTTCACTTTTTTTGTTTTGTGGAGTGAAATGTTACTGAGGCTTATGAAGTCTTTGTCAGGCTTACAGATAAATGAATGACAGCAGTCTCAAAAGCTGTACAAGATGCTACAAAGTTTAATCTCTTTTCTGTTGTCAAAATAAGTTTCCTTGAAGCAGAAGAAATCCAGTTGAAAAGTGTCATATCAAGACAGAGAACCTCAGCTTAAGAAACAGTGCATCCAGAGATCATCCTAATAAAATAATATCATTTTTTATGTGATGTATTGTTAGGATTTCCTCTAAGGTCCTAAGCTTTTTACTGCATTGTGTACATTACCATTGTTTTTAAATATGGTATAGCTGTTTATAGTACATGAAGTTAAATGCACCTTACAGGAAACAGTGCTTTAAAAATGTTTGAAATTTTTGGACATTTTCAAGATTTGTAGTCAAACAGATTTGTAATGATAGAATTAGGGTGGCTTTGAAGACTGTCTGAAGTGAATTTAAGTGTATAAATGTAGAGCATAGTCTTTTTTAATAAAATAGCTCTCTCATCGATGGGTTCATCCAGTTTTGGGTCAGATTTTCCTGTTTCTGTGTACCATTCAGGCCGGGAAGCCATTTATAAGGATCTTAGTACAGTGAACCCCAGGCTGCTGGAGTGCCTTGATCCCCTGGGTAACTCTCAAGTAAGAGAGCTGCTGAAGAGACTGGAAGTGCATGAGCTGGAGCCAGAGAAAGTCCTCCAGGAGCACATTTATCCCATTCTGAAGAGCGGCACATGGAAGGTAACTATTCCCACTTTCCCCAGGACCCAGAGTAGTAAGTTAGCTGTGACCTGAAGTGAAAGAAAAACAGTGATGAATAAAGGGTCCAGACTACAAGTCATGTGGAAGAGAGTCCTGTGAGACTGAAATATATAGAGGGGTTTTTAAATTAACCAAAGCCAAGTTTGAGAACATAAAAAGGCCCACAAATAGGATCTTAAATCTTTCTAGGTACCCAATATGATGCAACTAAATTTTATATTTGCTTGACAATATAATTCTAAGACCTTTAATGAGTGTTTCTTTAACCATAAATCCCCTAATATCAGAGTGCAACCAGGTAGTATTTTACACCAGCATGCTCTCTGACCAACAGAAACCTAAAAAGCCTGGGCCATCTGATTATCACAGTGCAAGAAAAAAATATCATTAATTTCTGGCTGAAAGATTTGGTTGCAATGAATGTGACTACATAGCAACATTCTACAATAAGACAGAATTGCAGCCTGGGTTTGGTGTGCCAGAAATACAGTAGACTGTCAAGACCTATGCAGTTTAAAGTATTCATTATATATAAACTGTATATTGCTTTATTCGTCTCTGCTATGGCATTTGTTTTCTAGGTCAAGCCTGAAGACATTGTTATCAGCTACCTTGTGTTCATCAAGCAGCATTCGTGCGGTCGAGACTATGTGAAATTGGATGCAGCAATCCCAGTTTTCACAAACAAGGGTTTTGTGTGTCCCAGAGAAACCAAGGTGCAGTTTTCAGAGGAGTATGGAAACATTGACCTGCCATCAAAGCTTCCAGGTAACAAAGTGGATTACCTCTGTTTTGTCTTTATACAACCACTTTTAAATGTCTGCGTTTTTTATCTTGTAAAAAATCTGCCAAGTTAGATGAAAAGAATTCCCTGCTGGATTTTGAACTTAGTCTTTAAAATAGCCTTTTCTCACTGATGGATATTAACAAAATCTCCTGTTATTTATCTAAACGTTTCTTGTCCGCAGGCTAAATCTGTACTAGTCTCGATTAAGACTGCTGAATGAAGCATCTCACTGGACAAAAAAAAATCTTTGGATTTGTGAACTGAAATTTCTGAAGCTCTGTGCTATTAATATTGTAAATGCTTTCAGTGCAAAAAGACCTGTTTTAAAGGTCCTGCCTGTGAATTCTGCCTTAACAATAGAAGGCTATTTTGGCCACTGTTTTTTTAAACACTCCCCCCACTTTAATTCTTTAAAGCAAAGTATCTGGAGTAGAAAATGCTGTGAGGGTAAAACTCTTTGGAAGCATTGTCTGTGATAGAATAGTGGGAATCCGGCTCATCCACGTGATGCATTATGTGCTGCTGACATCCCTGAAGGATAAGTACTAGAATTTCGATCAAGTGCTGTGAAAATCATAGATGATAAGAATGACCTTGCTGATGTTTACTCCGTTAGCACATCTTTTCAGAACCTCTTGTTAACATAGTTTTTACCTTTATATCCCCTGTGAGTGTCCAGGTTGCTCACTGTAGCTCGTGACATCCAGGGCTCACTGGAAACATATTATTTTATAAGTTGCAGAAAGATTCGGAGAAATAAAGTTGGGAGATTTGCTTCATCGCTGACTTGGCAATTAGATGTTTAAGTGTGGATCGTGTCCTTTGGTGTTTCAGGGGTGGACTGGGTGTTGCTGCACAGCTGCTATTTGAAAGCAGACCTGGATCCCAGTGGCTGGAGAGAGTTCTTCAGTGCTTTAGGCGTTCAAGATTTGTTCATCTTCAAAAAGACAAAGCGTTCCCTGACGCTGAATGAACTGGTAAGACACCCAGGACTTTATCCCCACTTTGATGGGTTGACTTCTTGTACACTGGGAAGATGGTGTTAGTGGAGACCCAGTCGTCCATTTGAAATAGAATAACTGCATAGAAGCAGTTACTCCTGGCAGTGGTTCTGGAACCACAGTGCATCTCCTTGAAACACAGGGAAAGGAGAAAGCTATCTATCTAGCACAGACGACACAGATCAAACCCAGGTGAACATGCAGGCTCCACACAGAGGGAGTCTGTGAATCCAGGACTAAAGAGGTGTGAGGCAATAATTTTAACTGCCACACCACCCTGCCACCCTACACCTGCATAATGGACACTTCATTTCTTTACATAGTCATATTTCTGCATTTGTCCTATTTTTCCAAAGGAATCTGCATTTTCATGTCTGTCAATCAGTCTTCATTTTATACCTTAGTTGTGTATACATGTTATATGTTTATGTATGATAGATTTAAAAAATGTGGAATATCAAACAATAAAAAAATGTGACAGAGTTCAAAATGTGTATACCCCAGAGAACTGCAATTTCTATATGCAGAGGTATGGAAAGTATAAAAATAGTTAAAATAGTTAAGACACCGAACCCACGCGTATCTGTTAGAACATTTAGGAGAAGACCAATGCAAAAAATTAAATCTGCTCTTAAAGAAAAGCTGTCAATGTGAGAAATCAAGGTCACTGTGCCTTATATAACTGCAGTGCTCTCTGTACTTGACTGAGTTGTTTAATTAAACATGCAAGTGCTTTCTTCTTCAGGAAGAGATTGTTCGTAAATCTTAGATTGAGATCACTGTTCCATATAGAGAGACAGTGCTTCCTCGTAGAGAGAGAAATATTACAGAACACCAGGCAGTGGAAGGAGAATCTAAAAGAGGAGCTTGTGAACTTGTTGGTGTCTGGCAATCAGTTTTAATGACGGCTCTGGGGCTGCCTCCAACCGTGCCCACAAGTGTATCCTGTCTGCAAGTCGAGATTCACATCAGGGATTCTTAGCAATTGTTCCCCAAAAAACTGAGACTGCTGCTTAAAGGCTATGGAAGCCACAAGACAAAACGGTGAATAGGTTCTACGCTTACAGTGGGGAAATGCGAAGGAATATGAATCACTTTTCATACTCAGTTTATTTCAGCCATCTTTCTTTTTTGAGCCTAAGTTTTCTTACTCTTATTTTGTGATTATTTTCCCCTTATTTAATTTAGAACTGATAGCGTAAAAGGGAATCATTTTGGTTGATCCTTTGTAATAGCAAAAAACAGTATTTTCAGGTGTTACAGTACCAAATAAGTGTTTTCTTGCACTTTGCCTTTTTTTCCAATAGTTTTGAACCTTGCATTGTCTTGCTTGGTCCAAATTATGATAAAATGTGTTTATTGTACTGTAAAAACATGTCGTTATTCCCACATAAAAATGAATACACTGCCTTTATTCCTGCAACTTATAGGTTTGTTTAATCATGGTGCATTATAAATACTCTTGAAGATTCTCTATCATAGCACTGCATGTGGTAAAAATTACATGCCTTCCGATGTACCGGAACATTTTGATAATTCCCATGAAATGCATGCTGCCTCTGCAAATATATTTCTATAGGAATTGTATTTCTACATAAGCTTTTCTACATTGACAGCTGTGCATTAGAAAGTTAAGTATTTCCCTCTTTCCAATCATATTAGCTTCAGTACTTATTGCTTTTAATCCCACTAAGACCAATTCGGGGCACCAAACTCCAGTGACACCTGTTCTGTTTGCTATAGGGAAATTAGCATCAAGAAATCCAAACCAAATTAGTGAACAGAGAAGACCTCCCCAGATTAGACTGTCGTCTGTGGTAAAGCTCAGTGTGACTAGACAGTATTGCTACTTGTTTTCAGACCAGCAAACAAAAGAGGTTAGTTCAGGTGATATCTGTTACATTTTTTTTAACATTTTTGTTATTCCCGAGAGGTTCATTATCCTTATTTAAAATCAGTGTGAGTCTGCGCAGGGCTGTTCTAACAAGGGCTTCTCAGAATGAGCTCCCTGGTGCAAGTGTTGTCATGCGGGCCCAATCCTAAGGCTGCCCCCCTTGTCACAGCTAAATCAGGAGCACGATAGATCTGTGACTGATTAGGGTGGCTCTGAAGGCAGCTGGAGCCAAAAGCAGCTTTGATAGCTCTCCCCCATGCAAGATAACTGATTATCCTCCAGGTTGTTTATAGCCAAGTTTTATTTAATCTTGAGTCTGCCAATGGACTTATGATTTATTTGATTTCAGGACATCTGTATTAACCCTTATGCTAACAATGTGGAGAGAAAGACTGAGCTATTCAAAACTCATTGACAACGAAGTTTTTTTGGCAGAATTGGAAGAGTTTCAGTAATACTAATTTCACACTTTCGGACTTACCCCTTATACTGAGTACATCCTGATTTCCTCAACACGGCGCTGTCATTTCACTCTCATCCTGTTTTCCCCCTGAGGACAGAGACTGATCCTGTGTCCCCTCTCATCCAGTACCTGGCCTTTCAGAAAGTGTTTCAAACTCTGCACTGGGGTGTTGTATGTTTTTTGGAAAACTGCTGCTCTCCGTGTCTGTCTTGTTGTGTTCTTCACCAGATGATGACCAAGAGAGTGGAGTAGCAATTGAAAAAGCAAACAGACATATAGCCATATTTAAACGCATAAAATGAAATCCAGAGATGCTATTTTAAAAATGGAGTGAAAACAAATCAAGTTTCCATCTGCGAGCTCTGGGTGTACAGTCTTCATAAAAGTAATACTGCTTGAAAGTGTCCTTGAGTAGACATGGGAACCTGTTGAACTGTAGCCCTCAATCATCACGGTTTGCCTGTGGTAGCATCTCTGCCGGTAGTAAGTCATGTACAAGTGCAGCACAATGAAATTGTATTGCTTTTCTACGCTGTGAATTTGGCGATGAGTGAATGAAACCTGCCTACTCTGTTACACACCTGACACATCGTCTTGGGTTTCAATGGATAACTGTGGTGATGTTTTGTACTCAGTGTACATATTCAGTAAAATATAACAAACATGATTTTGAATTCTGTATGAAAGGATAAATATTCACAGTACTGTAGATGTTTTCAGGTTTCATAAGGAAAAATAAAAATGTCTAAACTGTCTAGCACTTTAAGGGTGCTGGGTTTTATAGGAGAAATTATCTGAGGCCTTATGTATTTATTTAGTGCTTTGGAAATTTTCTATATGAATGTTTTTGTTAAAAATAGTTTTGTTTCAGATAGAAACATATTTTTATGCTATGTCTGAGGTCTTCATTCTATAGTGCTTAACAGTATCTGATTAAACACCGTGTCTCTTTCCAAGACACCGGAGAAAAGCACTGTAGGCCTCCTTCACTGAACTGGTGGGTTTTGATCTGTTAGTGCCCCTAAAGTTGTGTTGGCAGGTCACCTTAATTACAGCTCTCCTGATTCTCTCTCAGGCCTCGAGCCCATGGGCTCTCGACTGTGAGCTGTGGCCCAGGACTTCAGACAGCGTGTACGTCATTGAAGATCACCAGTGTGACGAGTTCCACGCCCTTGTAACAGCGGATCAGCTCGACAAGAAACAGAAACTGGGACAGAGGCGGGAACTCCTGGGTCTGCTCAACAAAAACTGGGTTACTGGGTGAGTTCATTTCAGAGTCAGTTTAAACACAGTTTGGTTTTCCGTGGTGTGCTGTCTGACAGAATGGCAGGCCAATCTCTCTGTCTTCTGGGGAGGAGGGTTAAGGCAAGGATCGCCAATCTCTATTCTGCCACGGCTACTTTTAAAGCTAATCTTCTTTTCTATGGATCGTTTTCAGTGAAACTTTTGAATGGAAAAACTCCTTTGATGTTTGAATGCTGTGCTGCATGTTACGGTTTTAACATAAGACCCAAAGCACTGGGATTTTCAGTTCAGCAGCTCTGACACAGTGGTGATGTGGACACAGGTGATGTGTCCTGCATGATGAGCAGGCTTGTACTTGATGCAGGGCTGCAGCCTTTCTGCAGCTCTCTGTGCCAAACTTACCTTTAGTTCTGTCTTCTGAATACCTTGCCTTGAGTTCTGAAGGATATTTTAAATCTCCGAAAAGAGCAGGTCTCTGGGCCTAGATGCATATTTTTTATGACTCCACTGAATTTAAAAAAACAGTACTTCTACTTACATTTTTTAGCAGTTTCATCCAATAGCTTCACAAATAGGGGGGATCTATGTTACTCACTGCTAAAGTACGGCTCCACCATGGTGTGGCGCTGTAATGTTTCTGCACCAGCAGCCCCACTACATAGCAGCTCAAGTGAAGAAGAGAGATATCGATTGAATAAAGCAGAAATTTTAGGGGGGGGGGGGATTTTGCAGGACTAGATTATAATTTCTCTTCATTTTCTGGGGTCACCAACCCTATAAACCATCCTGGGATTTTCCATTTTTTACCGAGAAGCTAAATAACCTACCAGTATGCAGGAGCAAACTGGAGTGCCTGGAGGAAGCCCATGCGATCACAGAGAGAACACACAAACTCCGCACACCCCAGGTCCAGAATTGAATGCTAGGCCCCAACATGCTTCAGAAATGTTAGACTCTCAGACAGCCATTTAGAACATCTGAATTGAGTTTTTCATCATTGCCTCAGCAAAATAACTATTGATGAGGTCAAGCATTGCTTTCTGTGCAATGAATTGCAATGCAGTTTCAGGTACTATTAACAGTTAAAACTGTACACAGCTGTACACATCTGTACCTTTTAATGCATTCTTTCACACTTCTACATTGCATCGAGACATCAGATGTTGACATCCTGAAATTAAGATTAATGTGTTAAGTTAAAAATCCATATTAATCCATATTTACAGTTCTGAGGATATATTTATGTACAAATGAGGGGTTTTATTTTTTATACAAGGAGTTACTAACCTGTTGAGACAGGCAGTCAGCCCAATCACCGTCTAGAGAAGGCAGCTGTCAGTCCTTACGATCCTGATGCCTGACAAATGTGCTCCTCTCTATTTAAACTATTTAAAAAGTGAGACACCACACACTAGGGCTCTGCAGGAAAGCCCCATGTCTGAATGAAAGAAAGAGATACTGGTCAGTGAGCCACAAAGACACCGCAGGACAACAGCCCAGGGAGTTCACAGTGACTTGTTTTGAAAAACTTTGTTGCTTTTTATTTTTGAAACAATGAAGAATATTGCCATGCCATCTCATCACTTGCTCTCATTTTTCATTCCTGTTACCCCAGTATGTGATCAAAGGGTTGTTTTGTGTTATATTTTAACTGCCATAAATCGTGCACCATTTTTTTTTCAATTCAGCCCACTATACAGTTTCTGCCGATTCTGTAGTAATCTCATTTATCTTTGTTCATATCTTATCTTAAGCATCAGATTAACTGTCAGAACTGAAGAAAATGGAATGTGCTTTGATTGTGTCGTTACAGGGACCACTACTCTCAGTACAAGCAGGCTCAGGTGTTTAACAGCCAGGGACACAAGCTGAAAGATGCCAGGTCGTCTTTCACCCATTACCTGACCACATTGCCTTGGGTTCCAGCGTTCAGAGCAGACCTGGGCAGCTATGATCAGCACACTGTGGAGTACATGTGCCCTAGCAAGGTGTACCTGTATTCTCCCGGGGTCTTCAGTCTCTTGGGAGTTCATGTCAATTATGTTGACATGAGTCCCAGTGAATTTACTAACTCAATTGGTAAGACCTATTTCTTTATTCATAACTAACGAGTGCTCTTAGGTAGGCAAAAGCAATACAACTGCTGCCTTTCAGCTCTAGGTGAACTTTGAACCAAAAATTAGACTGAAAGTTAAATTATTGGTTGAGTCATTGTAATAATGGTAAGTTAGAAGTGTGAGATTTTGACAACTAGCACATCCTGGCCTTGTGCATTACCGAGTGTTAAGATTATAGTAACATAAGTTACAAATGGGAGTAGGCCATTCACCATCTTGATTGTTTGTTTTAGTAACTTATTGATTTGACAATCAGAATTGAAATATTTCTCAGAAGTTTCTGAGGCCTCAGCTTCAACACACTTCACACCTCCCCAAAATTATCTGTGCACAGAATTGCCTCATATTTTCAGTTCTAAATGCACTTCCTCTCAGTGTCCCCTTGGATTATATGCTGCTTACAGCTGTCAGCGTTTCTGGTTTTTATTACTGATGATTCTGAAACATGAACTTTGGTCGACTCACAGCATTTTGAATGTCTTTTTCTGATCTGTTATGTACTGGTGGCAGCTTTTGACTTCTTTTGCACAACGTTTGTGTTCTGCCAGGAATGAAACATTCTGTTTCCATTGAAGAAGTGATCACGCACTTGAAGTCGTGGTGCACAAAGAAATCGGGTGGCTCATCTGAAGAAATCGAAGGAGCTGATTTTACAACCAGTGTACAGCACTTGCACAATGTCTACACGTACCTCTACGAAAACTGCAATCCGACTCAGCTAAAAGACTTGTTTCTGCACACGCCTGCTGTTTTCATAGCCTATGAAAGGTATGGTGCATTAGCTTCCTTCTTGTTAATAATTCCATGTTTTGAAATTCCACATATTTTACTCAGGTAATTAACTTAGCTGTCTCCTCTTGAATTATAGAACGGAAGAAATGTGCTCTGGGAGGTTCTACTTGAAAAAGGAAGTCTGCTGGAATGATCCTACCGAAATGTTCCTGCGGTACAAGGATCAGATCCGAAAGTCAGATGGTTGTGTGCAGGAGCCACGCATTCTGGCTCCATTTTACGGCCAATTACAGAACATGAAGGATTTATTCTGTAAGGTGCGAGGCATCTCATTGCTTGGATATAAGCCAATAACCCTCTATACATGTGTATACATTTTTAATGATCAATTTTCCCTGGTTTAAAGTCTTTTAAAGTTTTGGCCTGTGACAGAATGGAGTGATAAGTCTATATCTTAGTCAAGCAAGGGATAGGTGAGCGCTGCTTCTCTTAAATTCGTGCATGAGCCTAAGGACACATGGAAGACACTACAGAGGGTTGTGTTTCACTGTGTGCACAAAGTAGAGACAGATTGCATCGGGTACATTTTAAAAGTAAACATAACTTTTCCAATTGCCTATTTGCTTGCCTCTAGTGTTTAGATGTGGAACCCAATCCTTCAATGAAACAGTATGTGGACCTTCTGGAGCTAATTTGCAGCCCGAAGTTACTGCCCACTGCAGAAATTCTGCAGGATGTTTCCATCATTTATGCAAAACTAGGTGAGTTATATAATGAATAAACGCTGTGGAATCTCGCAAGCCAGTGCTTTCTCTTCTGACTGGCCCGTGACATACTGTAGGCCTCTGAGGTTTATTTAATCCATTCAGTCACTGCAGAATAAGTAAGAGGGAAATTACAGTCGCTACCATCCTGGTGCAATCGCACTGCGACTCTGTCATGGCTGTCATAAATTACTGCTCCAGGGAGAGGGCTGGAGTCCCCTGTGAGTTAACACAAAGCATAAATCTGCAGCTCAACATGGACTGACAAAAAGCTGCAACAGTAACATGTTGCATTGGCACGGTTTACAGATAACCAAATGCCATGTCCGCATCGTTTCTGTCCTTCCTAATCCTTGGTGTTCATCTGTGGTAGAAAGAGTGTGGCTTTTACTTGTGATTTCAGCTTTCTATGTCACTACAAAATGATCTTCTATCGTCTTGTGAGGTGGCTGAAATCACTGGCGTCCTATGTAGAGTGACAGCAACCATGTGCCCTGCCCTCCCAAACATAGAACAGCTCTCACAGCTGAGTATGTTTTCCTGTCAGGCTCTAAAAAAGTACATAAAGGAAAAATTGCAAGATATTCCAAAATAGAGCAATTTTATGTCCAGTTGTACTGCTGTACATTCTTCTTAAGTAGGTAGTATTTGCACAATCAGTTGCACTCACAGTTTAGAACGATCCAACATGATCCAGTCAGTCATTGAGGATATGAGGTATGTTTCTATCATAGCATGTGTGAAAGGTGTGGCTTAACTGTCTGTGTCACTGAAAATAGTGCCATAATACTAGGTCACATGACAATGGCAATATAAAGTAGAATTGTTAGTTATACAGACCACACTCTTAAACATAATACATTAATGCTTCATTTGTTATCCTAAACTAGTTCTTGCATTGGCTTCAATTCCATTTTTTTTTAAAGAAATAAACACTTCTTTACCACAAAGATAATTCGGTATTATGTGTATCCTGCTGTCATGGTCTTCTTTATTGGGGGATTTAGACATTTGCATCTGTCTTATGGGGTCGAAGTCACTATGCTGCTTAGATCAGAGAATAATATCAACTTATTAAATACTGTTATATCACTATATAACCCGTTCATTTCATGCATGTTACAGCAAGAAGGTGAACCTAGGAATTTTAAGAATGTATTAAATATTTATGGTAATACAAGAAATCCATGTTTTAGTATGAAGGGATTCCATAAAAGCTGTGGTTTCTAACAATTGTGTGTAAGTATAAGCATATACAGTGCCCTTCAGATTTATTCATACCCCTGATCAAATCAGAACAAAAACCATCTTATAGCATGTTATTGAGTTATGTACTGGATAATGTGTTTCATTTAGAACATTCTAATAATGTTCTGTTGTATTCAAAATAATATTGCAGAGAGCAAAGTCATATTTGTCATAACATAAATATAAGAGGGTCACATTTATTGCTTTAAAAAAAATTAAAACAACAACAAATTGCAGTAGCATTCCACCCTCTGGAAATGCAATGGAAGCAGCCAGAACTACTGTATATAGAGCCCTCTTAAAGTTTCTTGTTTCCTTGGAGTATAAAGGGACATACTGTAACACTCAAGAAATATTCAGTAGTAGCAGGAGCCTCATGGTTAAGGTCAGAGAGTCAGAGAGAACCACAAAAGAGCAGACTGAAACTTGGAAGTCTTATGGTCAGATCAAATGAAAATGGAGGTTTTGGACATGTTCATCAGCTTATGTTTCATGTAAAAGTTGAAGCTCATGTTGAAAAAACACTCACACGCAATGTTAACTTTTGTAGGGGGGATCTTTTCTGTTTTGGGATTCTTTCGTATCTGAACACCAGCGTCTACTTGAACATTTTGGCCACACCTGGCCCTCTCTGCCATGAAACTAAAGCTTTTCTGGTAATGCACATTCCATCATGACAATGATTCACATGCACACAAATTGAAAAAAATGGATAATTGCCCACAAAATAAATGTTCTTGACTGGCCATCTCAACCTCCATACTTCAATCCAGTTGAACAATTGTTATTCTTACTCAAGATGACAGTTCACTAATGGAAACCAAAGGGTCTGAAGGACTTAGAGCAATTGTACATGTTGGAATGATCATAAATTTCCCTTTTGAAGTGCTAGAACATCATTGCACATGACAGAAGACATCTAGTCAGAGTAATCCCTGCCAGAGGATGATTAACAAAATACCCACTACAGGGGAATGTGAATAAATGGGAGCCTTTTGTTTTCTGGAATGTATTTATGTCAGATATGACTTTGTTTCAGTGCTATTAAGATTACAGCATAAAAGTGTAGAATGTCTTAAGCAAGAAACATTATTCATTATGTAAATATGCTGTGTATGAATCTTCAGCAGAGATCTTTGCTTTCAGAATGATCCTTGCATGTCATTGAATATACTTTTTTAACATAATTCGTAAATGCAGTTTTGGAAATAAAACAATTTCCCCCCACAATCTCTAAAACAGCACTTTTAGGTAAATATTTCCGCAAAGGCTTTTATAGAGTGTATATGCCCGATGCCCCATTAAACAAGTTAAAGCAAATTAGTCTGCATCATTTGGTAGTGTGCCTCTCAACGGCTATTTTTGAAAGAGACAGTTGTATATCACTGTCTAAACAGCAAGGCAGGATACTCTGTGTTTTAGTTTCATTGTTGTCCTTTGTGGTCATCATGGAATCATGTCCACAGTCTTTACTGTTTTACTGATATGGCCTTATAATGTAAGTATAATCTGAAAGAACAAAAGCATAAATTTTAAGAATTAGCCTTCTAGAGACAGGTTTTGGGAGAGAAGCTCCCTTACAGTTCTGGGTTATGTGCAGGACACCTCAGTGCTGAGAAAAGGAGAAGTTTTTCTTTAAAGAGGTGTTGAGGTTCTGTGTCAAAAATAAATACCTCCCAAGCCAGGTTCCTTCCAAAGATGACCTGATGAGATTCTTGGATTAAACCAGTTGTTTAGAACCTGTGCTTGCGAAGGCGTACTGGGTGGTTTTTTATTCTTCTAAAGTAACCAAGTTTCTTATCAGGAGAGAACACAACATGCAATGTCCTTTGAAACATGTGCTCATCTGTTTCTTTAGAGAATTCAAGTGTCCAGGGCCCTCAGGAGAGAGAGGGCATCCAAACAGACACTGGCAGCTCTCTCACTGATAACACTACTGTATGTGCTCACAGGCACCTGGTAGGCCACAGCGTGATCTGCTGTAATTTGCTTTTGTTTGGCAAACCAAAGGACACCTTGGGCAATGGGAACTCGCCAAGCCCAGTCAGTGCTTGACTGATATTGCACAGCTGCCTGGGGTCTTCTGGCCTGTTTGGTTAATGACAATTCAAACTGGCTAGATTCAAACTGGCTTCTCACATTGCATTTGCACAGCTTTAGAAGCGAACTACACAGGAGCTTCCCTGATGAAGTCTCAGATTAATTTAATCGATTTACATCGAAGGTCACTTGAATCCAAGACATCATCTTTTTTTATTTTTCCAGCTGACAAGTGTAAAACCCCAGAGGACCAGGAGAGCGAACTTCAGATGGACAGAAATCGCTGCGTTTTTCTGAAAGGTGAGTAATGGTGAAGTCTTGGAGGTTAAGAGTGGTTGTTTCAAGAACAAACAGGAGATAGACAGATAAAGAAAGAAGGAGTTGTGATGCAGAAGCTGCAGACACCTGACCTTCACTTTTATGTATTGGGAGATAACAGAGCAAGATCTTCTTTAGAAGAATTTTCTGCACATCCTCAGTCTGTGTTAAACAGATTTATGGACTAATATCATGTGGTCTATACCTTATAGTTGTGTGTTTGAAATGTTTAAAAAACAGTGTACACATTTTATTTGACATTTTAATTGCCCAGATTTTTGGCCATCCATCAATATGCAATTGACAAAATGAATCTTGACAACCCAGTATCTGAAGGGATATTTAAAGCACACATGTGACATCAGCTGTTCTGTACTGTAGATACCCCTAAATTAAAAGTTGTATACATTTCCCTTTTTAATAGAAAATCCCTCCTTTTTTCCCCATTATTTAAAAATAGGTCAACAATCTAACTTTTTTCTTAGAAGAATTGTTGTAAACTGTTATTGATCATTTAGACTGAGTTCCTTAATGGCTCCTTGTGTAATGTGAAATTCAAGGATAAGCATTTTTCTTTTCTTCTTTTATGCTTGTAGAAATGTTAAGTGACAAGAAAGTCTTTCCAACCAAGGATCTCTGCTGGGTGACACTGGCAAGAAGACCTCTCATTCCAGACAACAAGACTCTGGAAAAGGTTTTCAAATCCCACACTCAAGTGTGTCTGCTCAGTCTTCCGCCTGCAGAGGTGAAGCCTTCCAGGGCCAAAACAGACTTAAAGCAAGGTAAAATTAAAACAGAGTGAAGCCGATGCCTACACAATTTATGAATGGATAAGGAGATACCTAGTTTTATCTTAATGAGTTTTATCGTTCTAGCTCATTTGTGCCAGGCCAACAGATGTAAGATAATCTGCACTTAGTGAAAGAGTGAATTAAAAATAGCACAGTTCTGTGAATGGTGTTATCTTTCCTCTCAGTTTTGTATATGTACTAGAAGCCAAGCATTAATAATCCCCAAATAGCTTACAGACATTGAGACCGAGCTTGCTTTTTTATGTTAAATAGGACAAGTTAATATTCTGTCTTGAATTCCTTGCGGATTTCTTAAGGTCAGAAGATGGAAGATTTGTTTTTTAATCTCCTAAAGTGCAGCTGTGCCAGTCACAGTATTATTACTGTATGGTGCTTATTTACATTACAGCCTCTCTTCCTGTGCTGCTTGGTACAGCCAGCCTCTTATAAATTTTGCTTTCGGCCTCTATGCATGCATTTCCATATCACCTCACACGCAGATGGACTGCGGAAAGCGAAATATTCTCTCAGAGTTTAAAATATCCCCCTCCGTGTTTTAGCATTAAATGTGTAAATACTTGCAGTGTTAGTTTCAACTGTCATCCTCTCTAACCAGTGAAAGCTAAAGTTAACTCACTTTTTAAAAATAATTGCCAATTCTGTATTTCCAAGGGTATGCCAATATCCATTTATTGCTCTTGTCAGGACCCAGAGTTTGTGTGGCTCAAACCCAGGTGAAACCCAGGACTGCTTTTATCAATAGCTTACTTTATTTCAGCAGCATTGCCAAAAGGTTTCAGCACATTGACAGGGAAATTCGAAAAACACAACCATACACGTGGAAAGCTGATTCAAAAAGTCATAGTTCAGAATATAATTTTCCAGAAACCTAAAAATTAAATTCCTAATTAGATCAAATAAAAAAACTTGGAAAAAAGAGGAATGTGTCTTGAGGAATGTTCAGAGGTTCTGAGATTCAGGGGTTCCGAGATTGAATGAACAGGAATCTAAATAATTCAAGAGCTGTCCCGTTGTTAGAGTGAGGTTACTCAAGCTTGTGGAGGACAGTGTGTGTTGTCAGCTTCCTCATTTAGCCATCCGGAACATAGCAGTGCGCCTGGCTGTTTAAGCTAATAAATTAAGAATTCTAAACTGGGCAGTGAGAGGGATTACAAAGTGAAGCAATTGGAGACTAATTTAAAAAAAATGAAAAAATTCAAACATCAAAATTGTGCTGCTCAAGTAATTACTTTTTAGTAAATACTATTTTGAATTTTCTGAGTCAGAATTAAGGTTTTTTTTGACTACCCACAGGGAAAAGGATTATGAATGACAAGAACTTGACATTCAATGAGAAGGACAGAGCTCTCTTCCTGGAAATCTGTGGGATAAAGAAACTCTCCGAGTGCGTGACTACCCAGGCCCAGACTGAAAACTACAGACCCTGTCCCCCGGTGCAGGCCCTGATCCGGAAGGTGGTGCCTTACATTCAGAAATTTCTGTACTATCATGACGAACTTGGAAACATTTATGAAGACCTCCAGGAAAGAAACATTGCTCAGCAAATCAAGGCACTGTCTTTTGGTCAGGTAAAGATTGCTTACTTTTTAAAAATCTGTGCATTTTGTGAGTAGTCATGGTTTCATGGTCAAATACTATAAATTTGTGTACAAATGATGACAGGAGGTGAGACATACTGGTCTTCTTTTATTCTTCAGGTTTAGTTCTTGATAAGCAGAAGATCATTGCAAAGCTGGTAAATATTTTCTTTTCTGGTTCAGAAAAGAAAATATGTTTTTTTTTTCCTTTTTTTAAATTCCTGTGTGCAACGCAGCAAATGAATTAAAGCTGAAAGCTTAAAATGTCAGTGATACTTTCGAATACTGGACACGGAGGTGACATGCGATGTGAAATATGATATAATAAGTATAAACAACATGGGGTGATCTGAAGTATAACTACTTCATTGATATTTGCAGCAGCCAAAGGGCAAAAGGTCTGTAATTTTAGTGAACTTATTACTGGTGTGAAGAATGATTTGTTGTTGAATCCATATATACTATGTGTGTGTCCATCACATGTTCCACATGTTTTCAAGAGACTGTACTTCTTTCGTTCAATATGAATAGAGCTGCTGCCTCACCACTCATGGGACTCAGGTTTGATTTTGGGCTAGACTAACCTCTGTGAGGAGTTGACCTGTGGGTACTTACCAGGTTTTCCAGTGTCCACCTGTCTTCCAGAGACACGCTTTTTGAGTTTTATGGTCTGCTCTACATTATTCCTGGCTCTGTGGTCCTGCAATGGACAGGTGTCCTGTCTAGGGGAGAGTGGCTGTGGGTTCTCTGTCACACCTTGAGCCCTGTGGGTCTGAGAGCAGCTCAGCTTGCCGCACCCTTCACCACGTTAAGCAGGCCTTTAACGATGAATGAACAGATGAAGGGATGAATATGAATTAGCCGTGGTCAGCTTCTAGAGTGTCGCAGCACACAAATATTCTGCGCTCTGTGTTCACACTGCAGCACATTACCAAGGCAACGTGCGATGTGGCAATGTGGTTGCAGCGGGCCAGGTGAAGCCGTTATCTTCTCCACGTGCACACATTCAGCCCACCCTTTCAGAGCACGTGTGTCTTCCGCTCTCTGTAAGAGCGAGAGCTGTTTCTCCAGGAGGTGGCTGCTTATCCTCCTGCCCCTTCAGTTTTACAGCACAGCAGTGTCAGATGCGTGCAAACGCGTTGGAGTCTGGCAAAAGAAATCTATCAATTCTTCTCTTCCCTTGCCTTTTGGAATCTGCAAAATACCAGCAGAGTAGTAAAGTGGGAAAATTAATGTACATCAAAAAAGTCTAAGCTACGTATACTCTGAGACAGAAACGGCTCTGTTCACAGAAAACTCTGTATGACTATCCCTCAGCTGTGCAGAGAAAAACCTCTACCAGAATGTCAAACTAATGTGGAAGAAGGCTCAGTAATTCCTTCTCAGGGGTGTATGAGATAGTCACTGTGATATCAGAAACGGAATGTCTTGGAAGGGATAAACAGTACCCCTTTAATGTCAGCAACATCAAAATAATTCAATCAAGACTTTTTAGATTCCTTGTAACATCATTGCACACATCAAAGAAACATTACATTTTTCAATATTTACGATCTCGAGTGTGTTGGTTTTCACCAAACTCATAGCAGTGTAATGACAAGATGTAAACAAAATAAAGTATTTATTGTTAGAGTAAACAACAGCTGAAGTACGGAAGTCTCAAAAGGCTGTTGTAATCACCAGCGTTCTTTTTCTTCTTAGTAAGTTATTTTTTTATAAACCTTTAAGAATTTTGCTGTTTAGTGGATACAAACTGTTCCATGGTATTATGTTTTGTGCTGCGAACCCTGGCCAGCCGTGTCTTTCTTTGACAAGGAAGGAAAGGCCTTTTGCCCTGCTGGCTGTGATTACCGACCTGACTCAGCCCCCTTTCACGCAAACACTAATCAGATGTGGTACCACTGCTTTAATAATATACGCTTTTAATCTGCTGGCAAAGGTTCTTTTATCTATCCTTTTGATCTTTTAGAAGCACACTGAGTTGGACAGATGAAACAAAATCCTTCCCAACACCGTAGGAATTCAATCGTGGCTGAGAGACCCCCCTTTCATTGAAATTGTGGATATTTGATAAATGTAACTTCTTTCACAAAGATCAGTCCACTGTGAGTGGCCCATTTCCTGAAGATACCCACTGTTTGGTAACAGTGATTAAAGGTCCCATTCATATTGTAGTCTCTCTTAAGCATAACACAACCAGTGGTATCAGCTGCTTTTCTCATGTATACAGGGCAGGTTTATTGCAGTGCAGCTGAGCACAGGAATACATTACTAGAGAGGTTTTGGATCAGCTATAAAACCTTTTTTTCTCTTCTCTTTGTTTTGGATCTGTAATGATGTAGGTGGGTAAACTATACATACAGTATCAGCTAAACTTGCCTGATGAGGAGCCTTTGTATGAAAGAGAGGATGTGATATGCCTTTTAAAGGACAACAAAGAACTTTATATCCAAAAAGACCACATCACCTCCACACTGGATATTTGGAGGTAAGAAAAGTGAAGCTGTGTGTTGACAGTAGAGGTAACATAGTCTATACTGGCTGTATTATATTGCTCAGGGGGTCTCACCTTTGGTGCAAGAGGATGCTAACTTGATAGATTGCACAAAAGTAATGTAATGAAGACTTCCTCTTTTTGTGCTTCACAAAACTCCATTTCAATCAACGGGAATGGAATTGATCCAGCCCTGGAATGTGTATTATCAACCCAGAATAAATTTGTTACATTTTAATAAACACTAAGCTGAAACACACAATGTTTTGGTAAGGCTTGCAAATTTATTTCTAGCAAAACCTTGCCTGCACTGTTCTGGAGTATCCCTACTTGCCCATATTGAGCCAAAAGATTATTACTTTCTCTATAGCAGGTTTTAGGTAGTGCTGTAGATATCTTTGTGCTGATTTATAATTGTCTTGAGAAAAATAATTTGCAGAGAAATGCAGATGTGACATACAGTATGATAGGAATGAAACATTAATTGTGGCCTGTTATATGCTAGGCCTAAGATTTGGTAAATTCCGTTAGTTACAGTACATGGGTAAACAGCTACAAAAATGCTGCTGTAATATTCAAGCCATGCAGCTGTCAAAGCCTTGACTCTGTTGAGACAAGGGGCCAATTTTTAATCTTTAGCATTTCCAGCTTTATGGTCCAAAACTACACGTTCCACTTCCCAAGTTTAGAAGTGAGGTTTCTAAAGGTTTGTTCAGCTGCCTTTGGTTGTCTTCCTTTCCTGTTTTTGCTTAATTTCTATATTCCTGTTCTTTGGTGTTCTTGGCACTGCAAAAAGTGTAGATTTGTTTTGCCTCTCCCTGTACATGTGAATTTGCAGAAGTGAAACAGCCTCTTTTTTTGTAGAGAGATTGTGAAGCTCTTCAGTACCAAGGACAAGTATATGAAGGAGCTGGAACGCTTTCTGCAAGGGCTGATGTCCTGTCTGGATGTGAGTATTGGAGCATTTGAAGGAACTGTGGGCTTTTGTGAGTCTATACAGCCCCAAGGAGAAAAGCTAGGAGGCATCTTTGAAAAGGCATCAATGTCTGTAGGCTTCAGTAGGAATTCTTAAAACAAATGATTTACAGTAAAATATGAGCAGCAGAAAGAGTCCAAATTTCAGGCCAGAGTAGGGTTAGGGTTAGAAGAACCATTAAATGTTGATTGCAGATATGCTTCTAATTGCACTTTAAATGATTATATTAAGAGAGTTTGCACAGAAGAACAGGTTATCTTACAACTTTTGATGTGCCTCAATTTTGGAGTAAAATTACTGAACAGTGCAATAAACAATATGAGCAGCAAAAAGTGTCCGAAAAAAAAGTTGAAGATAGGGACAAACAATAACACGTCCTAAAGTTCACTTGGGCCCCGAAATCCAGCACCGGGTGTAAAAAATGATAGAAACTGTCATTCCACCAGAGGCTACAGCTACCGAATGGATTTCTCTCCTGGGATTAAGAACACTGAATACCTTTACTCTCCAAACAGCACTGAGAGAGTAGCTCCAGGCCCAGATGACATGTGGGCAGCTGGGTCCCACTTGTGTTGCAGTTTTCAAAACTTGCACAGGAAACTGTTGATATGTAGCCTGTCTTCTTGCGACACACCAAACACAAGCTCATTGGCATTGTTGTTCCTCTGCATGTATGCTTTCAAGAAAGAACCTAGGGATCTAATTATTGGATTTCAGGGGAATTGATCAAACAATGCATTCTAACAGGGAATGGTAATTAGGTAAACAACTCTGTAATTAGAGGAAATCAGGCAAAACTTCAAGTAACGAACTTAAAAGATGGCTCCTGATGTTTGTGTAACGATTTCTCAAAGTTGACCACAAAAGTGTTTTGTGCATTTTATTTTCCCTTACAACAGCTGTTCGCTTCTACACATGAGAGTGTGTAACAGATCTAAGAATTTTGTGTTATGGAAATACAGTTGCAGACAAAATAATTTTATAAGTATAATAATAATATCTCTGCTAGGTTTATTAATCGGACACGTATCCTGTGGGCTGGTACAGTATTTAGGGATTTCTGGGAAATTAATATAAAATACGGTGTCCTGTACTGTTTAATGACAACAGGGAAGATTAGATATATTTATCAGCAGTTTTTCTGGATTGTGCTTTTAGAGATTCATATTTTAATTTTTGGCCTCTTTATTTTGTTCATGTTATTATTTCCCTTTATTGTATTTTCACCTCATTTCTTTCCACTGTCCCTCTTTACTGTTTAATATTGTAGTACTCATGGTTTCTAATTCTCTGCAGATAAAGATATCCCCTAAATTAAGAATACAAATTATTTGAAATGCCTTATTAACCTGGGTAGTTTGTTAAAGGATAACATTACAGCAAACTGGGCTATAGTATCTCATCTTCCCTAGCTGTGAATTGAATTGCCCTTTTTTAAATTAAATATTAATCCACATAAAGTTTTATGGGAAAAAATCAAATAGTGATCATTGTTCTGCTCTGCAACATGGATTATTATTTCTGATAGCAAACATTATCAGAATGTCCTTCCGCTTTATTTTAATACAGTCAAGTTCTCCCATTAGGTAGTGCAGTAAGTCATGGGTCTGTTCTGGGGTCCCCTGATTATGTGGGTCACAAATTATTACGATGGTGTCTTTCAGGACGAAGCAGCGTTGACGAGATTCCTGAAAACAGAAGACATCCGTGAAATTCCGAGCACTGAGGAGAAATGGGAGGTTCCAGAACCTGTGGAGATAAGGCTGGAGCCCAGAGGTAAGCAGAACCCTTGTTTTTCTGTAGCCTCCTAGAGCCTTCAGAAAGAAAGAGCTGTACTTGCTGGGAAATTGTCATCTCGGTCTCCTTTGTGTGTATCTCAGAATCCCTTGCAGATAACTTGTGAGGACATTGTCTGTTTTATTTACAAAGAGGCGATTTTAATGCCCTTAGTTTTCCCAATTAAAGGACCCAGGTAGTTTCATTTTGGTGTTTTTTCCCCTTGGCCTCGCTGGTGCTGGAATAATATATCTGCAGTCTGTGTCCATAGCCCTACTGTGTCATATCCCTTAACTTGTTTGTTTTCGTTTTGGCTGATTTTGCTCTTAGCCACCCCCAAGAGTGTTTTTTATGAGCGAGGTCAGGGGTTCACCTTCTGCGGCTGAGCTGAGCCCAGCCATTGGCTATCTCTACCGTTTCCTAATTAGTGTTTTCTCCGTGCGCTGCACTCGCACATCCACCCAAGGGATCCTGCTTATGATAATTCAGGTTTGTTAGCTCTTTGGCTTTTTAACATGAAAGAGATGCTGTCGCTGGGTGTACGAGTTAGAATGATGCAGCTTTCCTAGTTGGCAGAGAAGAAAGGAGGGAAAACTAATGAGGTGCAGCCAGTTTATTAGTTACAAAGCAGCTACTGCTTCAGCTTTTCACAAGTAAGGTCTGAATTCTGGAGATGGTGTATTAAACATGACAGGTTAGTAATTACACAGCAAAATCCAACTGACAAACAAGACTTTTTTTCTTTCCAATTTCTCTTAATACAGATAATCCTACTCTCTTTTTTGCACAAAGATGGTTTCATCAGTGTTTCTTATTAACACTGTCTGATTGGGCCACACCTCCAAGATGCGCTTTGCCAGTAGCAGTGTATATTTACATAGTATTTTCACCATTTCCTCTCGTTTAAGCCTTGTGATTACTGTATTTCCTCAAGCTTTCCCACACGCTGTTACGCTTTACTGTGATTTGATTTTTCGATGTCTTGCTAAACTTTGCCTTTGCTGTGTGACACCACAGTAAACCCCCCAGGCAATAAATAGCCTTCTTTTTCTTTTTTCTTTTGAGCTGCACATTTACAACATTTTCTGGCTGGTCTGAATTGCTGCTAAAAAATCTGCCGCTAAATAATTCTGCTAGAGAATGAGGTAACCTTAGATTTCACTTTCATTCGACACCGTTTGTGCTCATAAACAAAGAAGGGGAAGATTACATTTTGCTAGTGCAAAAATGATGCCTTATGTTTTGTTTCAGTTTAGGTGAACGAAGGTGCAATTCTACTACAATTAGTACAATTCACAGGAAAGTGATAAAAGAGCAAAGTCCCCATTGTTGGTAGCACTTGTACTCCAGGTCATTTAACTCTTACCCTTAACTGGTCTACAGCCTCCTTGGTATGTATTGAAAAACATCTGAGCTAGTCATCAAAACTGCTAATGACTCTAGATCAGAACAAATAAATAAATTACAATGACTGATGCTTCATTCCTTCTTCCTTCATCTCGCCATCAGTCATATCCCCCATCTGCTCTGATTGATGAGCACTGCAGGTGCCATTTCTAAGCACTTCTCAGCTAAACAGGAATCAGAAACTGTTGCACAAAAACTAGGCCATCCCATTGTCCATTATTCTGGAAGATCAGACTCTTCGTTTTCTAGGCTGAGCAGGACTTTGCGATCTGTCAGAAAGCAGCACGACATGAGGTCTGGCTGCCGTGCTGTGCGAATGAGCATTGGAATGAGCCAAATAACTAGAAGCCCCGTGTTTCTGCTACTATGGAGATGCAGAACGGGACATGGGAATTTACTCACTCCCTTAGAAAATACATACTGGAATCTGGAATCAGGATGAGGGCCTTAAAGTTATTTATATCTCAAGCCATGTGGTACAAAGTAAAAAACCTTCCTTTTTACAGTGGAGACTTTTGAGTGTGGTTAAATTCGGTATCACGTCATTGTGTTAATGATCTGTAACATGCTGTAGACTGGGCTGCAGAGCTTTCTTGGGTTTTTGTGAAAGCTTTCATCACAGGACTAACAGAACCACTTAGAATATAGCACTACACCTCTTGTGAGGTTCATGCATTGTCATTCTGTACAGTTGTTCAACGTATCTGGCTTTATTCTGGATGTTTCTAGTTCTGGTCCTCAGGATTGCAGTGTCTTCTGTTTTTAGTTGTAACTATTCCCTTAATTGTACCAATTATTTACTTAATTATCCATCCATCCATTTTCTAAATGCCTATCTTGGCAAGCAATGGGCACAAGGTTGGGATACATGCAGTATAGGATGCCAGTCTATTGCAGGGCAGACAGATACAAACACAGGCACATATTCACATCATGGACAGTTTTTACAGAAGTCAATTAACCTGCCAGTATATGTTTGGACTGTGGAAGGAAACCGGTGCACCCAGAGGAAAATGCTGAGCGTACGCACAAACTCTACGCAGATGCCACCCCTGGAATTGAACCCAAGCATTGCTTTGCTAACCACTTCCACACCACGCCTCCCCTACTTACTTAATTATGACGCTGGAAATTATTTTTCCTAAAAAAAAAACAGCATGTTTCAAACAATTTGTAAACACCTCACTGGAGTGCTCCTCAGAAATGGCCATTCCAAACATTTAGCTCAGCATCACTCGTTGACAACTACAAGGTGAACTGATTTTCAGTCTACCTGAGCTCCTAATTACTGAACTGAACTATTCATGGAATTTGGCCCATTTAATCATTTCGACAGATTAAAAGCAACTTCAGATTTAAGTATACCTGCCCCATTCAATATGTTCCCACTAGCTGTGTGGATCACTTTGCCATTCATCATCCTTAAAATTCGTTTGCCAAGTTTATATCCATGATTTTGTTTGATATATTGTAATTTGTTGCTTTTATTTGCCACTTCCCCTATTTTTTGTAGAAAATTTGACAAATTTGACCATATCAGAATCTAAATCATTAATATACTGTAGATCAGGGAGTGCAAGAGTCCTCAGACAGATCCTTTTGGCACTCCACTGCTTACATTTGCAAAAATAGAGGTTTGAAAATCTCATATCATATGCCCAAGCGTTAAAGGTTCTAAGGCTTGTTTGATGGACTATTATAAGTCAGTTAAACCATGCATTCTTTGTCTAAATCCATGTTAGTTGTCTGTTCCAATGACAGTGTTTAGTATTTTTCCTTATTTTGCTCAGTTTTTTCCATAACTTTTCCAGTGACTGGATGTAAAAGAGATTTGTCTTTAATTTTCTGGTTCAGGTTTTTACTAATTGATGCTACAATTGCATTTTTTTAAGTCTGTAAGTCCCATTCTAAGGGAGAGTTGAAATATCCTTGCTGAATCTCTATGTACTGTATGTTCATCTTTTCCTGAATTATAAATGTTAAAAAAACGTCATTTTTAGCCATCCAAGTCCCGCTAGAATATAATTGTCAATGATGCTAAAATTATACAATGCTATTGTAACCCATTTTATAATGTATGGCTAATATCTTGATGGCTAAAGAGGTAAACATATGTTTTAGTCTTTTCCTAAGAAATGATGAATGAATGCAGGTGTGCTGAGAGACTGCAGCAGCATTTTGTCTTGGTGAGAGTAGTTCGTGGTGCTGTAGAGCTGGAGTGTTGACGGTATGTCTCTCTGCTGTTTATTTCGGTGCACCTCGCCTCACCTGCAGCAATCCATTCAGAAGACCACATCAGCAAGTCAGCCAGCACCACAGAGGAGGAGAGGAGAGGGGGTGTTGAGGACGGGGAGAAGACACTGGCATGTTGGCCACCAAAGTCATCCTTGCATGGAGCCACGAGCAACTACACAGGTAAGGTCAGGGTAGATTAGAGACTGCACGTTGATCAGCTCAAAGATGCTTAGCTTCACAAGTAGCTTTCAAGTCATGAGGCTAAAACTTGCACGCCGAATGAATTTGGCACTTAATCTTGTTTGGTGTTATCCAGCTTAAAGCATTGTCCTAGGTGCCCGTCACTAGAAACTGATACTTCCGTCAGGGAGCCTAGTCCCAATTTCCATTCTCTTCCTCTGTCTAAATATCAGTTGTGTTTCTTTATCTCTGAGAAACAGCTCCATATTTGCTCTTTCAAGAAGGTTTGGGTTGAGCCTTGTCTACAAGCACCTTGGCCAAAGTGTTTTTGTGCAGCTGGATGTTGTTGAACATTGTAACACGAACACTGCATCAGCTAGCCACTTGAAAATACTCACACTTCTTAAAGAGCTAAACAGAAGGAAAGAGTCAGATTTCTTTAAAACATGAGATTTTGATCATCCAATTGTACTTCTGCCTTAGATTTATTTAGCTTTAGAGATGCTATAACATCACAATTTGCTTTCTAAGATTGATAAGGACTGGGTAGCCATTTAACACGGGGCTGCCATTTTTGTTGATACAGAGATCACTAGTTGCCAGGGGCAACTGTGTTCCTGGCAGTCTTCTCTGTGCTCCAGCAGAGCAGGCAGGTGGGCCTTTGAATGCCTTTGTACAGTCTATTAACTGGCAAGAATTGTTAGAAAAATGTTCTGATAACAGTTGGCATAAAAAGCAGATGCATTACAAAATAAATCTCAAAATTTGAACAGCAGACCTTTTCATAACAGGATGTTTACAAGAGGATTATATATTCCATTGCCAAAGACTGGATAGGATTTTTAGTTTCATTTACAATTCCTGTGTTAGGAGTATATGAAGGGGTGTCTGTGCTTTCCTCAAGAGTGTTTATGCGGCTGGGGTGGGGAATTGTTGTGAAAGTTGCTGACAGGGCCTTGCTGATGTGAATGCAGCTGCTTCAGAAAGTGGTCTGGTTTGTGTTGCTTGCAGGGCAGGCAGCAGAAGCAGTGATGAAGATGTGGCCCCCCCCAGCCGAACCTTCCCCCTCAGACCTAAGGGGCCCAGCTATGAGCTTTAAAACCCAAGGGGCCAGGGCCAGTGAGGCTGCAGCTGAAGTGAAGGAGAACAAGCACCCAGACCTCCATGGAGACCAGCCCAGCGGAGTCACCGCATGGCACCCTCTGGGTTTGTCTCCTTTCAGTGTTCTCTGCCTGTTATCTTGGAACCAGTACTGTTTGTAGAAATATGGTTTCCGCACTTGAATTGACTTAAAACAGGTGCATTAGGGAAACAAATGGAGAAACTGTCATTTTACTAATCTCACAGTTCAGTTCTTTTACTAAAATATCCAGCATTTCTAGTCAAATTAAATTTTGTTAAAGGTGGATAAAGAGGTATCCAAATGAGCCAGATGGTCTGAATGACCTCTTCTCATTGGTAACCTTTCTTATGTCCTTATCCAGTGAGGCTTATTAACGGTAACAGCTGGCTTTAACAATAAAGTAAACTGTGCAGCTTAGAAAGTACAGCATACTGATGTTCCCTCTTTTCACAGCTAAAATTAGAGACATTAACAGGTTAGCCATCCTGTCAGCTTCAATCACTGAGAACAAGCTCATGACAAGTTCTATAGGGGCCTGTGATTTGTCCAGAACTGGAAATAATTTTAATTTGTGCAGTTAAACTGTGACCAGAGTAGCTGAGAGCTACAGTAAAGCAGAAAGACAAGACTGAGAAGCCAGTATTGGCAGTTTGAATTTCCCACTTGTGCCATCAATTCCTTTCTCTCTTTAAACACAGGGAACAGTCATTGGAAGTAGCTACTGATTTACATAGTTCTGTCTGGCTCAACATGCATTTGAAAGAAATAGGTTTGCATTTGCTCTAGCTAAACCCCTGCAGAGCTACGACCTCCACCTGAGGAAGCCATTACAGCAGCTCATGAGTAGAGAAAGATTTGTGACCTGAAAAGGGCGTGAATACGGCTACTTTTCTTTCAGGAGTGAGAGGTTTGCCTGCTTATTCTAAAGCTTCAGATTGATTTTTTTTTCCCTTTAATTTTAGATCTTGATGGCGCATTAAGCGGGCAGAGGCCTGTTGACACTCAACCGAAACCCGGCAAAAGCAGAACCAGTCCTGATTCTGGGCAGCCTGTAGCTGAAGACGCTGTAGCTGCTGGACCAAACCCCTCAGAACCTTCGAACATGTAAGTATGGGGCTTCGATCCTGCTTTTGACTTCTGTTGTTGGCCCAACAAAAGAAGATTGGGTCTCCTGTGTATTTTGCAGAGTGATTTATTGAGTTTTATTAAATCAGTTTGAATTATTTATTTGAAAAGTGGAACCAATATGTCATTTATGCCACGTCTTAATGTGGAATAATAAACTTTAATGTTTCTATATCATGCCTTTAATAGCATTCATCTCAGATTTCTTTCTCATCTCACACTTTTGTAGTGCAGAGTTTTATTCTTCTGAAAGAAGATTGAGTTTTATAGGTTTTAAGACTATAAGAGGAATAACAACACCCAAGATTTAAGCATATTAAAAAGGTTTATAGAGTCTTTCAGACGCAGTAAATTTTGCTTCACCTGCTGGGCTGAGGGACAACCTCCTGGTCACAGGACGAGTGGGCTAGGACCCCCACATGTAGTGAGGGGTTGTGGAGAGATGTAAAAGATGTATGCAAGGGAGAGAGAATATATTACTTATAGCATTTCTTTAGCTTTAATAGCTTTTTATGGGAGACAGTTATGTCAGGAATGATTAGAAATCACTGACAGTTATGGTTGATTGAACTTGGCTGTTGTCATCCCTTCATTATAAACTCCATGTCTTTGTACTTTGTGGGGGAGATGGGGGGTGAGAGATTGCTACTCCTGTGGTTTATGGTCTCGGGAAAGTCACAGATTCCAGTCTGGGCCCAGGTATTCTGTTCCGCATTCACCAGGATTGCATGGTTTAAACAAGCAGGTGGTGTTGCAGTCTGAGGTACTGTGGCCCTTTAGTATTTCTACTAAAGATTGTTTTTATTCCTGCTGGCTGATTTCTGCCCTCTCTCTCTATCCATTTAGGAGCCTCCAGCCCCCTCCAGTGCTGGAAGCAGATTCTACCACATTCCAGGGCACAGACATCCAGCGTCCACCCATTCCCCTAGACAGCCCAGTCTGGGCCAAAGAGAAGCCACACCAGGCCATGCTGGAGGACCTGGTCATCGACAACACTGTTTCCAGGCCTAAGACAGTGGCTCTACCGGACGAGAGCACGAGCTCTGTGGCCGTCGGAGAGTGGGGGGAGCGCTATGTCTACAGTTTCCTAACGAACTGGAAGGACAGTGGAAGCCCCGATGGGCCCGTGGACATCATCTGGAGCAACCAAGACGGAGAGAGCGGCCATCCGTACGATTTCAAAGTCACCTTCGGCACCGCGAGCAACGGCCCATCTGTGGTCTTCATCGAGGTTAAGGCCACCGTGAAGGCAGAGAGAAGCCTGCTGCACCTGTCAGCCAACGAGCTGAGCCTGGCGCTGAAGGAGAAGGATCGGTACCACATCTACAGGGTGTACAATGCCGGGGACGTGGAGAATGCCCGCCTGTGCCGAATTAAAAATTTAGCCCAGAAGCTCCATGCCAAGGAACTGGAGTTGTTCCTGTTTGTGTAGTGCCTATATGATCAGAGACCTTTTTAAGTATATAAAAGGAACAAATATAAGAGTTGTTCAATCTATTATTTCATCTGAAAATCATACAGGGTGCAGAGTAACTAAAAATGCACTGAAGTTCAGTGCCGTTACTGATTTTATATTTTATTGGGCAATTGATTTCTGTAGGTTTAGCTCTTTTTATCTGACAATTGTGTTTTTAAATGTGTAATGTCATGTGTAGTATAACTAAACCAAGATTCCACAATAATTGTGTCAACAGGCAAGAACCTATGATCAGGTTTTGCCTGGATGATAGATCTTAATTTTTATTTCATCCAGAGTGCTAAAACTCTGTTTTATACTCTGTTTTTATTGATATACAGTATACAGGTACTGTATGTGCAGCTTTTATAAGCATTTTAACAGTAACATAACAGTAACATGGCATGGGCCTTAACTATACGCCATCGATACAATACAGTAGAACTCATGCTTAGATTGTTATTTGAATTGTGCATTCATTCACCATGGCTATAGGATCAGGTTCCACCCATTTGTAACTTTGGAACTATACCATTCACCAAACAAAAATTAAACTGTGCTCAAAGTACTGCAAGAAATTGATTTTTTTTTTAATGACTGATTGTGATGCACTGAATTTCAAACCTGGTTCTTATTGGATATCAGCAAGGCATTGTGCTGTGGATGGTATCTATTCCTTTGGACAACATTCATGCTTGACCTCTTTTTCCTCAATTGGTCACAATTTTCTTTCTTAAAAAATGTCTTCTTGTTCTTTATCTTCACAAAACTTCATGAAAGGTTCCATACTGATCAATTTAATCTCCTGGCTTTATTCAAGAAACAGCTAGATGACATCCTCAGATCACTGAACCTCTACTAACCAAACAAGTTGTTGCTGCCAAATTGTGTTCTCTTATTTATAGTATTTCATCTGATAGCAAGAAATGTGCTGTGTGTTTGCCAGCTGTGCCATTTAGTTCATTTGGGTGCTGTTAGCTTGTTAATCCAAGAATATGCAGATATTTCTTTAAGGACCATGGGGATTCTGCTTCAACATTGTGACTAGGTAGCTTGTTTCAGACTCCTACAACTCAAGTGCCTCATCAGTAGCGTTTTTTTCCTGCTTATACTGCAATAACTCCTACTTCAGAAGCACTACTATTTAATTCATTCAGATCCCATGGGCTTCATATGTAATTGTATAATTCGTTTTTGTCAAGTTTAAGATGATGTGATGTTTCTCATGTATCTCCAATCTCCAAGCGTCTCAGTGCTTCCTCAGATTGCAATCAGTTCTCTTCACAAAAGTCCGGCTCTTCAGCCACAGGAGAAATCTCTATTTGGTTTTCCTAGAGGATTACATCACCTTGTAACAAGCTCACCAAGCCCCTGTTACATCAGCAGTGGAAAGAATGTGCTGTTGTTCTGTCCTAATCTCAATTAGCCTTCACTTTGGAGCTCAGATTCTCCAGGCTAGCTTTCACATAGCTATGGAATCCACATCACGAGGATCTAACCTGCTCATCTCGTGCATTCATTCACGCAAACAACAATTATAGCTAAATCTTAATTATTGGTCTATCTCAAGTCAGATTATGAGGCTTTTTGTTTTTGCCTTACTGAAGATATTTAAGCCTCAGAGAAATGCTCTTTCAATTTCATTCCACACATGACATGCACAGAAGAATCTTGCACAATACAATACAAATATGCACAATACTATAAAAAGTTTTAAGATTTGTGGCTATCGTGAGTTCCCAGAACGTACTTCACACAAATGCAAAAAATAGGTAATCATTACAGCACTCAATACAGGGAGAGGAGTAGAAGTTAAAAATTGGTTTAGATGGATAGTTAGAAATGCTCAGTTGGCAGATAAGATTCTACCACATCATATATAATTTATGCCTTCGAATGACAAAAGTCTTTATAGAAATATACTGTGCATTAATAAAGAATAAGTCTTTTAACTGCAGCAAATTCTTAAAGTTTCAGGCAAATGGAATCTTTATGAAGCAGGTGCACTGGTATTTTATTTGATAGACATGACACAAATAAATTCATTATTTGAAGTTTCACATTGCAAATGTAACACTGAGAATAGGTTCATACCCTTTAAATATTACATGGGTGCTTTGAGCTGCAGAAAGCTACGCACAAAATGGGTCTTTAGCAAAAAGTGTGGAATTCACATCCAGGGGAGTTAAGCTTTACAGTGTGCTAAGACCTCACTTAGAACTCTGTGTTCAGAATAGCTGTTTCACAATGAGGACATTATAGCTGAAAGATTTCAAAGAACATCAAGAATGTCTCCAGCCCTTGTAGCAATGTAGACTAATATATAGTTAAAAAAGATAGATCTCTTCAGTCTAGAAAAAATGAGAAATTCGATTCAAGTATATAAGATTCTAAGTGGTATAGGAAAGGGCCAACCCAATGGTATATTTCACACTAGCAAAACATGGATGTGGGGATCACAACTGAAAACTAAAAGGAAATCAATAATATTCATTCCTTTTACTAATAGAGCACTTTCCAGAGTGCAGAAGCCCAGTCTCATGGTACTTGACAGAATGAAATTTTAGTTTCACATAGTCTAGTTGATCCTGCTACTTGTGCAGTGTGGACTGGAGGACCTATGTTCATAACACTATTATTTCTTAAATTGGGTTCTCAGCCATTCAGCCATTCTGCTTTCCCTATTTCTATACCCCTACCAGAATCAGCCTATCCTGTTTGGCCTGGGAACCTGCAAAATGTCTGCCCCTGACACAGCAGTAATCAGTATAGAAAGATGTTTCTACTGTACCTTACATCAGGATAAGCCTTCAGGAATGCATGTAGTGATGATGATTTGAATTTACTGAACTACTTTTCTGAGTTCTTTCTGGCATGGCTAAGTCATGAGAAATTGTGACATATACACAAGAGTTCAAAGCTTACAATATACAAATGTTATTAAAGCAATAATAAAATCTGCACAACAAATCAAAACTATACAACAGTAGAAATAATTGTGAATCTGCCAGGATACAGAATTAAAATACAAAATACTTGTTATTGTGCCCACCCACTTAATTTTAAATAAGTTTCATAATTCAGCATTCATACACTTGACAGACAAGTAAATATGCAGTTACTGAATATTAAAATCTATCAAACGATTATAATGTGAACACTGAAAGTATACTCATCTAAATCAGAAAGCTTGGCCAGGGTGTTCTGGGGAGAGTTTAACAGTCCAGTAGGGAGAGGAGTGCTGAATCTGGTTGCAATGTCTAAGGCTTGTTCGCTGAGTCTGTGCTCTGTGTTCTTGCAACCTGGAAAGTTCGATTTTAAACGGGGACAAGCTAAAAAAGTTATGTTTATCAGAAGGAAATTACAATTGGGGAGCTCTTTTTCTTGTTGCAGAAAAAGTCTCAGACAGAATTCTGTCTTACAAGTCTCAGAGGTTTAGAAAGCAGTTATCAGTTATGTGGTTTTTAGTCATCATGAGTGCCGATTGGTCATGATATCATCAGGTGTAGTATTCTTCTCTACCTTGACGAGGTTCCTCATTAGTGGATTATCCCAGCCCTGTCAGTGCATCTCCAAGTAGGGTTTTAGTCCATATGTGCGTCCCTCTTGGAATTGTAGGCAACGAGACACCTGTTTAGCCAGTTCACCACTGATCGTGTCAAAACTAGCCCAATTTGTGATGTCCTGGTTTGAGATAGAGTCCCAACACATTGTTCTTCTCGGAGTCCATCTTCCCAGCTTTTCTATGAATGTGATTCAAAGGAGCTAAGTTTTATCAGGTTCATTTTTAATTCAAGACACAGAAAGATTTTTATACTCTGGATGAGATCCTTAGTGACTGCTGCAGCACCAAACAACCTCTTGTTTGTAACTGTTCCTGTGCTCTCCAGTGGGTACCCATGCATAATACAGTTCCATGCTAAGAGGTTTCCATCAGTCACTACTTGGATTTCTGACAAGATACTCCTCCACAGACCATCATACAGGGTTCCCCTGATGATCACCATATTGTACACACAAACTAGAGTGTCACTCTTCATATCTGTGAAAAAAATATCTTTTGACAATATGCTGCACATGTGGGTCGAATGTTAAACCAGAATCGAATATCACGCCAAGGTTTTTCAATTTAGACTGAAGCTCAAGTATAGAACCATCTACAGATTGGGTTACAGGATTGGTTTTACGAAGTTGATGGGGGTAGCCAATAAGCATGACTTCAGTTTTGTCACAGTTAAAATGAAGGAAATTCTGAGTCATCCAAGTTTTTATGTCAGAGATGCAATTAGAATAGAGACAGCCACAACAGTGTCAGGTTTGTTATGGATGTGTATTTGAGTATCATCAGCAACTGACCAAGTGGAAACATGTAAATGCTGAAGAACAAGGGGCCTAGTATTGAGCCCTGAGGAACACCAGACTTAACAAGACCAGTTTCAGACCTATACCGATTAAGAGAGACAAAGTGACAGCAATCAATGAGGTAAGACTTGAACCATTTGAGAACAACGTCAGAAACTCCAAACATAGTCTCAAGACGAGAAAGATGTTATGGTCAACAGTGTCAAAAGCAGCACTGAGATCAAGGAGGATGAGTATAGAGAGAGAACCAGAAGCACCAGAAGCTATTAGAAGATCATTAGTGACTTTGATCAGGGCAGTTTCTGTGCTGTGAAGTTAACGGAAGCCAGATTGGAGGGGTTCGAAAAGGTTATTTGTCATGAAATGGTTATGTAACTGAAATGTGACAGCACATTCTAGAATTTTTGCAAGAAAGGGTAAGTTGGAGATGGGGTCAAAATTGTTAAGATTGTTGAGAGCCATGTTAGGCTTTTTTGGCACGGGGGTAATGGCAGCAGTTCTGAGGACTGTTGGTTCAACGCCAGTGCTCAAGGATTCATTTATAATATTGAGGACCATGGGACAGAGAGAAGAGAAACAGGACTGAAATAAAGTGGTGGGAATGGAATCTAAAATAGATGTGGGTTTCATGCGTGTAACTAGTTTATTGAGGGACGCTGAGCCAGGAAGAGAAGTTGGGAGAGAAGGGAACCAGAAAAGTTAAATAAGGAGGGAGGAGGTATGGAAATTCTATGTGTAGTGGAGAGAATGTGATGCCAGATGTTGTCGATCTTGGAGCTAAAGAAATCTAAGAATGTGGTGCAAAGTTGCGATGAGGCAGGTAATTTGGTGGGACGGTTTGGCTTTAGCAAGGTGTTGATGGTGGAGAAAAGATGTCTGGGGTTGTTATGGTGATTTTCAATAATGTGAGAGAAGTAGGTGGATCTAGCAGACTCTATTGTAACATTGTATTCAGACAAGTAATCTCTCTAAGCCTGATAATGTACATTTAGGCCAGAAAGATGCCACCTACGCTCACGTTTATGGGAGACAGCCTTCATAGATCGCAGATGGTCATTGTACCAGGGGGCAGGGCGAGAAAAGGAGATGGTTCGAGTTCTTAAAGGAGCAAAAGTGTTGAGGGTAGATAAAAGAGAACTGTCAAGTAACTGTATTTTGTCCTCTAAAGAGTCAGAGGAAGAGAAACAAGATAAGGAGGACAGAACAGAATTTGCAAACCTTGGGTGATCAATTGATTGCCAGTTGTGGAAATTTACAGAGCATGAGGGGGAAGTTTTAGAAACGGGTAATTCCAGATTGAAAATAGCAAAGTGGTTAGAGAGGCCTAGATCGAGGGAAGAGCAGTGGGAGACAAAAGAGTCGTTTGCAATGATTAGATCTAGGGTGTGTCCTTTGTTATGTGTAGGGGTACAAACAAACTGAGTAAGATCAAAACATCCCGATAGAGAAAGGAAATCTTTAGCCAGACTGGAAGACCTTGAATCAATCTGTATATTAAAGTCCCCTAGAATAAGGATCCATGATGTGTCAATCTTGGAGAGATGCCTTGACTCATGGTCACCCAGATCATGGCCTGTCATTGACAGACTGGGATTGACTGTAATGATTTACAAGGTACAAATTACAGCCTGTGAACATCCCAGACATCGAGCAATAGATTGCAGTCTTAGTCCAGCATCCAACATAATGACTGCACAAAAGCTTTCTTTTGATACATGGGGAGAAGTGGGTCTTTTCTGTGTTTTTCCTTCCTAATTTTTACAGGATGGATATTCAGCACATTAAACTACTTCATCATTTGACTAAAATTTCTCACAGGTGATTTAGTGCACAAGGAACAGTGAAAATCACTAGTACTGTACTGTATTTCACAGTGAGTCTCAAAATCATACCAAAATATTCAAGCAATATCCAAGATCTGTATACAATTGTTTTTCTAAATATACACGCATAAGCAGCGATACATTTATTACGATGCTCGGTATACACATCAGATTACAAAACCAGTGTGAAAGCCAGTTCTGGAGTTACTGTATTAAAAAATTGTACAGTATATCTGTAAAGAAAGAGACCATTAAGTCTCCTTTTTCTTAAAAGCCTGTGGTATGATTGCTAGTTTCATCAGAGGTATTATTCTAAGCTATGCTACACTGTGGGACATCAAGTTCCCTTTACGGCTAACCTGTTGAAATGAGGTCCATTCTGAAGCCTGTATCAGCACGGTTGCATTGCAATGAACACAGAATGAATATGTATTATCAGTTTTTCTTCTGGGACTGCCAATTCTGAAAACCTTGCAGGAGTATTATGACTGTGTTACAACCTTGTCTGGTCATGTCCCCTGCACATGTGTACATCTGTAATTTTGCCAAAACATGACAATCCTATTACAAATCTCTGAAGTAATTAGAAGAGCCTCGTGTACTTAACATGACACTTTAAGTCAGTAGGATAACCTCGTATTTCCCTTTACATTTGTGGGCACAGTCTACTTTCGTCTATCTACATTCCTTGCAGTCTCTCTCTGACTCCTTTCAGCCCTGAAAAATAATCACAGTGCCTGATCTGTCCTGAAACCAGTCCTGTTACTAGCTGAATACCAAACTAGTGCAATGACGCAGGTCCTGCGTCTGAGAGGGCTGAATGGAAAGATGAAGACGAATTTGATATGAAGAACGCAATTTATACCCTTCCGCACAAAGCCGCCGAGCCACCTCTTGGGATGAACTGTTTGCAGATGCAACATCTGAAATTTTAAGTTGGAAAGTAAGTATAAACGAAATCTCTCTCTTGAAGAGGAAAGAACGAGCGCTTGCCTGTTGTGCCTCTCTTAGAAGTTTAGTCACGTTTCAGTCCAGGAGGTTGTTGAGATCATTGTTTGTGATCTGAAATTGCGAACAATTGCTTGTTTGTTGTTTTCTGCATTTGTGCATTCCTCTTTTGTGGGGATGCCAGCCGTTGTATTAAGGCAGACCATTTTTATTAAAGATTTTGGCAGTTACTAGACTGTAGGTCCATTTAGCCTCCGTGTTTTGATTGAAAACGTGGAGATCTTTAAGCAAGCGCAGAAGGAAGATCCGACTTAAAAATGTCAGATTGTAACCCAGTGAAATGTTTTTCTTCCATACTCTGAGTCTGTTTTCATTCAGTACGACCCGTACAGACACCAAACCTACCAGCTGCAATGCAAGCAAGAGTCGGTCATTTAAGGAGTTTGTCATCTCTAGAGGCACTCGTACGCGGAGGGCTGAGTCATAACGCGCAGCTTCTTCTCTCCTCAGACAGATGCTCTCTGCATATACTGGGTGCAAATATTGCACGCGACATATACACTGAACACGCTTGTGTATAGGAGATAAGATGCTCAAATTTGTGTGTGCTGTTTTGCATGAAAGTTACTACCATGCAGGGTAGCGAAACATGGGAAATACTGGTCTTTGTAAAATAAAACAATGAAATACGCAACAGGAGGACTAGAGTAGTGAATGTTTCACTGATTAAATATCAAATGCTATTTATTATACTTATACTTTTATTATACTTTTATGACTTACTTTTTATTCTATGATTAATCACTGCAGAGTTCTCAAACTATCGTTTCTGTTTCCGTTATGATAAAGTAAATGAGCAATACTACGTCCTGCAAAAAAGTTTATATATCTCTGCACGTACTGTACTGTATATGTGATTTCAATGCACATTAGCCTAGCGTGGTCAATTAAAAATTAACCTTCGTGTGCCCTTTATATTTCTGAATATACACAATTCTACATTTTCAGTATGTTTTCAATAATAATTATAATACATGATTACAACAGCAATTACACAGTGACATACTACAAGTATTTTTAACATAAAACAACATTAAAATGCATACTCTTTCGTAGGTCTGTATGAATCTGGAGAGCTTTTGTTGTTTTCGTAACAATTTTCGAACGGTTTATCGGGGAGTCGCACGGCTCAGGAAATGTGTACATTCAGTGCGGTACCACTGCAGTTCCACCTTAAATCTCATTCATGTAAACTTCTGACGCAAACCCGTGAGTTCACGGTCCAGTTCCTTCAATCCAAGAATATGAACTGTCAGTCGCTCATCATTGATTATTGCCCTGGGCCGGGTCTTATACAGTACATTTTGGCGATATCTCGACAGGTGACCCTAGCATCGCCTCTTTGCAAACATCAAATGTACAGATGTGCAAGTGAAATGTCATGTCTCAGTTGCAGAATCATCTGTCCTCTCCCTGATGCGTTTTACGCCGTCCAGGTCGTGAAATGTTGTCTTTCACCTTGGTGATGGATTGAAAAAAAATGAAATAATGTATTCTACTTCCATGCTTGAATGTCGACAACATGCCCCTTTTAGCCATGAAGTTTTAGTGAGGGGAGTGATGTGTAACTTTTTATGCTGTGCTCAGTCTATGTGTGACATTGATCTCGCTCTGGAGGGACTAAACCGCATGAAAACCAAATGAAATCCCTAATATTAACCGTTTTAATAGTTTTGGGTAGTATTTTAAAGTACCTTGGGTAGCAATGAACGCACACAAGGTAAGTAGTAAGCATCGTCGTATCGGTAACCTTTTCTTTTCAATGACAAGAAGCTATATTCTTTATTCCTCATACATCCCCAATTGCTGAACGGCAAGAATCTGTACGGAGACAGACGACTGTTCTTAAGGCAGGCTTGGGTTTGTTCCAGCCTCGGTGTGTTCGGCGATTGGACGGTGACTGCAGAGGGTTGGGCTTTTCGCAGTTTCATCCGGGAGTGATGCGGGAGACAATAGGGCGAAGAGAGCAGCAGTCCGCTCCTGCTTCCCGAGCAAGGTGAAATTGCGCTATACATTACAGTACGTGAATCGATAGCAAAGCTCCGGAAAATAAAGGCTTCTGCCGCTCCAAGGGAAAAAGAAACTTCCGTCATCGCGAAACCAAGGTGCTTTCCCACCCGTTTGCTTAAGTTTTTGCTTTTAAACGGAGAGACGGTGAAAGCCTTTGCATGCATTGTAAATTCAAAAGGTAAGTGAATGACAATGGATATTGTCTACAGGTCCCATTAGTATTTTTTTTGTCTTACCACAGCATTTCTGAAGTGGCACTGCTTCTGCATCTTGTTGCATAGTATGTTAGAATTTGATGTTAAAAGGTATGCCTTACAAACGTAGTTGCTCTATTGCCTTTGGAAATCCGTAATTGTGTTTTTTTTTACGTTTCTTCGATAATAGCACAGTAACTAAGGCAGGGCAGAAGACAGTCGGTAGCACAGCAACGCCTAGATGCGTTATTGGCTGACTTGTGACCTTTCCTGATTGTGTCTAATTAATTATTTGTTTGCATACGGTTCACACTACGTTTGATGCTGTCGGGTTTTTTGTCGCTCAAATGCGAGGAGAAAGGGTTTGTTTATTTCTAGAGATGTACTAGTGGCGCAGGGCTATAGTGTACCAGTATGCGGTGTGCGTGAAGACGTTTGCGCATGTTTATGTGCGCGCACAAACACGGAGCAAGTGCGGTTTATTCTGTGGTAATACTACAAAGATTGTGCACGGCAGCGTGTCCCTCTAATAACGGGACATAACATGTACGCACAAACACCTACAGTACATAGTGTACATGCAGTAAATATTTATTCTCTGACTGCTGTAGGCATCATGTTATCTGCCCCTTCTTACCCACATGTCATAAACAGTCAATGTGATTTGTGTTTACCATGTATTGTGCATAGAGCATGGCAGAATTCTGCACCCTTACAGCGGGTGCTGTCCCTTTTTGCTTGTGTCGATGTCTTGCATCCGCCCTGCTGGATCAGCTGTGGGGAAAAAAGCTGACACACCTCTCCTTGTGGGAGTTGTTCTCACTGCTGTCTGGGCTCTTGTGCAAAGACTCCAAATGTGCTGAGGAAGACAGCCGAGGAAGGGGCTGTAAAAAGCAGTCAGGTCTGCAAACCTGTGAAAGGGGCTCTGTCTTTCACCTGTCAGGGCAGGACGTGCAGTCGGGCTGGGCGCCACTTGCTACAGCATGAAGTGAAACAAGTGGTTAACCTTCCGCTGGCTATTGTGTGCTCCTCTGAAGAATGTCTCAGCAGACGTAATGGCTGCAAGTGTGTTTGCAGGTTCCATTCATTTTAGAAATTAAGGAGGGGAGTGGGAGAGTTATCCAGATGTAGATGCTCCCTGTGATGGACAAAACAACACATTTTGTTAAAAAGGAGCAATGCATTGTTTTTCTAAAAAAGGAAATCTGTGCCTTTTGATTTACAACTTGGTGGGTACCTAACTGCCCCCCTACCCCCTGCACCTCCACCCCAAGAAGGAAAGCCTACTGACAAGCTGTGCCTCCGTCTAGACAAGATAGATCCTTTCTTCACTCCCAGGAGGGAGCACTGAATCCCCACTGGTATTCCTGCCCTGCTACTGAAGTGGTGCCCAGTCTCTGTATCTTTGATGTGCTCCAGAAGTCATGACAGGAATTGCTGGAGCAGAGAGCCAGTGGCTGGCAGTGTTGTTGCAGCCTGGTCTTGGAAGCTGAAGAGATTCAGGCTCCGTAGATTGGAGTCTGTGCTTAATTAGCAGTGGGCTTTGACGAGGGAGCTCAAATCAGGATCTGACAACAGTCAAGTTATACTTTTGCATGCCACGGTAAAAGACAGGAGACAAACTAAAAGAAGCTCTAATGTTGTTAAACCCCTTTATAAAGATGGTAAATCTTACTTTACACCTGGACAAAAGTCAGAGTGAATAATAAAGACTATTGAGCTGGTAGCTCAAAAGACTGTTATGCCTTTTGGTCAAATAATAGTTCATGTTTTGTAGCTATGGATTTGGAGACTAATGTTAATGTTTTTAGTACAGTAGGTATCTGTTAGAAAAATTAACACTGAGAGAGCTAAAGCAGGACTTTTTGCTACCAGCTGCTACAAAGCCAAAATAAAGTTAAATGTATTTCATTTCACATTAGATGACTAATGGAAAGTAAAAACCTGCCAAGTGAACTTTGTGTCTTACTGAATCTTAAACAAACCAACTTCACTTCAAGCACAAACATAACACTTTATTGAGAGGCAAATAGCATTGCTTTGCTTGCACAAAATGGAAATAGAGCAAGACAAGAGGATTAATGCTCAGTAAGGATCAAAACAGTGAAGCCATCACTGTGTGCAAGGAGGATTTTTTCTATTTTTCTGGAAAGGGAAAGATAAGACCACAGCGTAGTACAGATGTTCATGGGGAGACTGGAATATGAATGTCCAAGCTTTTTTATACAGTGCCTCCAGAAAGTATCCACCCACTCCCAAACAATCAATAATATCATTGCATTATGATCAGAATGTTAAATTAATTGAAATAATATTTTTCCCTTTGATTCATACAATATACCAAACAAACCAAACAGACAACCCAGTCTAAGGTCCTGTGTTGACTCAAGCGAGTTCTCCTCAGTGGAGCCTGTATTTGGTTCTGTTGGTTGTTCCCTGTATCCCGACAATTCCCCAGTCCCTGCCTTTGAAAAGCATCCCCGTAAGACAATGCTGCCAGTCCTATGCTTCATGGTTTGGTTTGCCCCAGGCATAGAGCTTTACATTCAGGCCAAAGAGTTTTTGTTTCATCAGACCTAGAGAATATTTTGCCCCATGTTTCGTGTGCTGCAGCTGTCTTCTTGCAGACTCCAGGTGTCCTGTTATGTTTCCTTAGGTATGGTTTCCATCTAGCCACTCTCTCATTGAGACTGAATCTCATTGAGACTGAATGTGTACTGAATCTGGAACTCTGTAGTCCTGACAGAATGGTCATTGGGTTCTTAGTGACTTCTCTGACCAAGGTCCTCCTTTCCTGGTGACTCAGTTTATGGGGATGGCCAGGACTTGGAAGAATTTGGGTTGTTCTGTATTCTTTCCATTTCCTAATGATGGACAGGACTGTGCTCCTGAGAATTTTCAGTATCCTCGGTATGTTTTTATACCCCTCTATGTGTCTCCTCACAATTCTATCATGGAGTTGTACAGAAGCTCCTTGGTCAGATGGGAGGTTCTCCTTTGACGTGTACTGTCAACTGAAGGAGCTAATATAGACATACGAAAAACATCTGTATTTCTCCTGAAATCATGTCAACCGATTGAACTGACCACAGAAATTCGATGCCCTTACACAAAGAGTTGGAGTGTGGAACAAGATACCCAACTATATTGCTGATGCCAATACCTTGGTGTCTTTTAGAAATGGCTGGATGAAATTCTTGGATCAAGTAACTACTAACTACAGTGTTGAATGGTATTCTCTCATTTGTAACCATTCTTATGTTCTCAAGACCATAGTCCCTGCAACACAAGGCCTATAAAAATGTATTACAAGGGATGTCTTGATCTGGCTTGTTAGTAGTGACATCCAGCTGTTGGTAAATTAGTAATTCTTTGGGGCAACAATTTCCACTGTAGAAGTAACTGTTTAAGTGTGGAGCCTTAAAATACATATATTTTTATATGATTTTACTGATAGACTTTTTTGGATAGGTGAGTGAATCAATGAATTGTATGAATTGGTTCAGGTGTTTAGACTGTAATGACTCAGCTATGGCTGTATTATTTTATTGGGAAACTATGTTGGAGGACTTTACTACCATGCCAGACAGCTTTGTTATTGTTGCCTTTTTTGAATATGAGGCATAGCATTTTGTTTTCAAAATCAAAATTTCTTACTAGTCCTATCAAAAGACTGTACATTATTCCAGAAGTAAGGGGTTTTAATCCCATCTCCATTCACAAGCTATTTTTTATTTTGTTAGAGTCAGATTCTTGTTAAGTCTTTAAGATTACACTTCAGTCTATACCCATTGTTTTTCATTGGACTGTTTCCCCACTGGACCCATTTCTGGTCACTGGGGAGGGAGAGAGCACAGCCAGTCTTCACTAGGGCAGGTAGTGCGTTGTGGTGCCCAGCTCTTACTGGGGACAGATGAGGACCACTCCCCAGGGCTGGGTGATTGCAGCACCATGCACAACCCATCACTGTCACTCTGTCCCTTAATTACAGATCTTACTTACACAGTGCTTTTATCTGTCCATACCCACAGGTTGTGCTGGATTTGTATCCCATTTCTTTGAGGGATAGACCACAGAGTAGAAGAGGGTTGACAGTGGCCCAACAGTCCTTTTCTCCATCTTACGCAGGGTTCAGTATCAAAGCCCCTTTGATCCTTGTTTTTCTGCCTGTGGTGCTTCTTGAACGCTGACTTTGCCATCATAAAGTATATTGATGGCAGTTTACTAGAACGAGGACATAAAGGAGGGCTCCTCCTGCACTGGCATGTTTTAAACAAACGCTGACAGACATTAGAGTGGAGATGCACCTTAAAGGTATTTGAGGACTGCATATGCACCATTGGGTATTTGGCACACATGCACAATGGTTAGATGTGCCTCAGGACCATCTATTGTTCACTGATTCCAATGAGACTTCCCAAAGCTGGTCAAAGAAGTGTCAGTTACTATTGGTGGCAAAAATCAATTTCCAAAGATATGATGTACAACATCTCCATTAATATACAGTAATTGCGACACAAAGCAAGAAAAAAAGGGGGTTTGTGTCACAAATCCTATCCCTGACGCTTCACACTGAAAATGTAATCCAAAAAGCTTATAAGATTTTTATTATTGTTGTAGTTGTCAATAATAATAATAACTTATATATAATTAATTATTAAAATAGAGAATACAAGCCTATAGTAAATAATTTTTGTTTCACTTAGTTTTTGGGTTAGTGTTTTTTTAAAGTACACTTTCCACATAATGAATACATAAACGGCTATAGGGAGCCATTTGTCTATAGTAACTTGTGTAATTTTTATTTGATTTATCTTGTGGAAAACATGCGGGAATATCACTAATAGCTTACTGTATGTAATACAGGGTGAATAATTTGCCCCCCCAGTTTGTCTGTAAAGAGAAAACAAGCATTTTAAGCATTGGGATTTCCTCTACTGTGTTTTCTTAGCATTATGAATTTGTGTCGAAAACTAGCTTCCCT